CCCGAGTAGACTCGGATATGTATATATTGCAAATATTTATTATCCCGAGTAGACTCGGATATGTATATATTGCAAATATTTATTATCCCGAGTAGACTCGGATATGTATATATTGCAAATATTTATTATCCCGAGTAGACTCGGATATGTATATATTGCAAATATTTATTATCCCGAGTAGACTCGGATATGTATATATTGCAAATATTTATTATCCCGAGTAGACTCGGATATGTATATATTGCAAATATTTATTATCCCGAGTAGACTCGGATATGTATATATTGCAAATATTTATTATCCCGAGTAGACTCGGATATGTATATATTGCAAATATTTATTATCCCGAGTAGACTCGGATATGTATATATTGCAAATATTTATTATCCCGAGTAGACTCGGATATGTATATATTGCAAATATTTATTATCCCGAGTAGACTCGGATATGTATATATTGCAAATATTTATTATCCCGAGTAGACTCGGATATGTATATATTGCAAATATTTATTATCCCGAGTAGACTCGGATATGTATATATTGCAAATATTTATTATCCCGAGTAGACTCGGATATGTATATATTGCAAATATTTATTATCCCGAGTAGACTCGGATATGTATATATTGCAAATATTTATTATCCCGAGTAGACTCGGATATGTATATATTGCAAATATTTATTATCCCGAGTAGACTCGGATATGTATATATTGCAAATATTTATTATCCCGAGTAGACTCGGATATGTATATATTGCAAATATTTATTATCCCGAGTAGACTCGGATATGTATATATTGCAAATATTTATTATCCCGAGTAGACTCGGATATGTATATATTGCAAATATTTATTATCCCGAGTAGACTCGGATATGTATATATTGCAAATATTTATTATCCCGAGTAGACTCGGATATGTATATATTGCAAATATTTATTATCCCGAGTAGACTCGGATATGTATATATTGCAAATATTTATTATCCCGAGTAGACTCGGATATGTATATATTGCAAATATTTATTATCCCGAGTAGACTCGGATATGTATATATTGCAAATATTTATTATCCCGAGTAGACTCGGATATGTATATATTGCAAATATTTATTATCCCGAGTAGACTCGGATATGTATATATTGCAAATATTTATTATCCCGAGTAGACTCGGATATGTATATATTGCAAATATTTATTATCCCGAGTAGACTCGGATATGTATATATTGCAAATATTTATTATCCCGAGTAGACTCGGATATGTATATATTGCAAATATTTATTATCCCGAGTAGACTCGGATATGTATATATTGCAAATATTTATTATCCCGAGTAGACTCGGATATGTATATATTGCAAATATTTATTATCCCGAGTAGACTCGGATATGTATATATTGCAAATATTTATTATCCCGAGTAGACTCGGATATGTATATATTGCAAATATTTATTATCCCGAGTAGACTCGGATATGTATATATTGCAAATATTTATTATCCCGAGTAGACTCGGATATGTATATATTGCAAATATTTATTATCCCGAGTAGACTCGGATATGTATATATTGCAAATATTTATTATCCCGAGTAGACTCGGATATGTATATATTGCAAATATTTATTATCCCGAGTAGACTCGGATATGTATATATTGCAAATATTTATTATCCCGAGTAGACTCGGATATGTATATATTGCAAATATTTATTATCCCGAGTAGACTCGGATATGTATATATTGCAAATATTTATTATCCCGAGTAGACTCGGATATGTATATATTGCAAATATTTATTATCCCGAGTAGACTCGGATATGTATATATTGCAAATATTTATTATCCCGAGTAGACTCGGATATGTATATATTGCAAATATTTATTATCCCGAGTAGACTCGGATATGTATATATTGCAAATATTTATTATCCCGAGTAGACTCGGATATGTATATATTGCAAATATTTATTATCCCGAGTAGACTCGGATATGTATATATTGCAAATATTTATTATCCCGAGTAGACTCGGATATGTATATATTGCAAATATTTATTATCCCGAGTAGACTCGGATATGTATATATTGCAAATATTTATTATCCCGAGTAGACTCGGATATGTATATATTGCAAATATTTATTATCCCGAGTAGACTCGGATATGTATATATTGCAAATATTTATTATCCCGAGTAGACTCGGATATGTATATATTGCAAATATTTATTATCCCGAGTAGACTCGGATATGTATATATTGCAAATATTTATTATCCCGAGTAGACTCGGATATGTATATATTGCAAATATTTATTATCCCGAGTGGACTCGGATATGTATATATTGCAAATATTTATTATCCCGTGTAGACTCGGATATGTATATATTGCAAATATTTATTATCCCGAGTAGACTCGGATATGTATATATTGCAAATATTTATTATCCCGAGTGAACTCGGATATGTATATATTGCAAATATTTATTATCCCGAGTATACTCGGGCATAGCAGAGTTCGTTAATACGCTTTGCGTTATCACGTCTTTATTCGGCAGGAAGCAAAACGAAAAATAATAATAATCTGCTGTGATTGAACGTTTGCCAATATTTGTTCGGGAGTTTTGCTATTCGCGGGACTGCAGACGTGTTTTGTACAATTGTATATATACGATGGTCATGAATTTACATAGAAGGAAGAGTAAAGAAATGGCTATCGCGAGAGAAAGTGAAAGTAATGCAGATTATTTTTCAGATGATGAAGATGTGAACATATACAAAGACTAATATTAAACTTTTTTTATTTGTCCGAGATAATTTGAGATAGTAAACTGTTGGTAAATTAAATATTTTTTTTACTCATAAAAAAAATTAAAATTTCAACTTAGAACTTGTGTATTATGTTTTGTTTTAGTTCCTTGTATTTATTAATGAAATAAAAAAAAATATGTTGATTTTTTTCCTTTTTTTTTCTTTAAAAAAATTTGTAAGGAAAGCTGTTAAAAAAAAACGCCTTTCAAACTTGCGCAAATTATAATATACTTCTAACTCATAATTCATATATATATAACATAAATATATAAATAGTTCATCTTATAGTAAAGTGAAATTCATTACTTAAACTCGCGATAAGCATAACCTTTAACCAAGGCTACTACACACTGTTTACATCAGTTCTCAATAGTTCTCAATAATAACGCTTTTGTCGCTGAATGTGGCGATTTTTTAACATTCGGAAATAATTCATGCTGATTATACTTAGCAGTTACGAACTTATTATATTTTCAGCATCGAAAAATACTAAGACTGAAAAGTACTGACAAAAAAAAAGACAAAAAAAATAACTTTTGATAAAGTTTAAAACCAAAAGAATGGGAAATTTCAATCAAGATCAAGAAATTAATAAGTAGCTCAACTTTAATACGCCATTTTACTGATAAAGATTCGCTGGCACTGACGTCATTGGTCACGTGTGTGGGTATGGGAGGCCTTCTTCTTCTTCTTCTTGAAAACACCCAATTGTAATGTTTTAACTAAACTCACCTTAAGGAAATAAAAGGAATGAAATAGTTAGACTTTGGTTAACTATGTATTACGAATTCTGAATAACTATTTTGATAACTATTTCTCCTAAAGTAGTATTTTAACTATTAAACATCTTTCGATAATAAAAGACGCGAATCAGTTAGGCTTGAAGACCTTGAAGATTTATTTCTTATTACCTAAGACAATTTTCTTGTACTATTGTGTTTATGATTAGCATGGTTCTTATAAATTACCTAAAAATACACGCAGTTTAAAAAACTTTAAAAGATACAATATTATAGAATGTAGAATAATATACAACTATAACTCATCATAACGGTAACTTTTTTTCTTCAAAAATTCATCCCAATGTTTATTTTATTATTTTTAATAATAAATATGGATTTATTATAATGTTATGAAAATTACTTTATTTCAAGCTTGTTTCTTAAAATTTTTCTTAGAAATGAATCTTTTAATGTTGACTATGTTTTGAGAAATGCTTGCATTTTTAATATCATTAATTTTCTTGAACTGCTTAAATAGCTGGAAAAGGTGGCCACATTTTTTTAACAGTTGCCACCCCAAAAATGCTACATCTGACCACTGGCTAGTAGCAAAATTTCTTAATTTTGCACCACCGTTATCAAAAGTTATATTTCATATTTTTTTAAAAAAATATAGCGGAATTACATTTTTCTTCCAAATAAGTTCTTGTTGTTAATTATATATAATGTATACTATTTTATTTGTTAATTGCTAAGGATACCATATCTGCAAAATGTTCTTAAGAATTCTTTTGCAATTAGGCTTAGAAACATAATCAAGGAGATGCCATTTCGAAAGAAGAATTATATAATAGTTAATTATATATAATAGTTAATAATATATAGTAGTTAATTATATACAATATATGCTAGGTTATTAGTAATATAAAATAATTAATTAAATAATAAAAAACGCAATAAAATTAAAATAGTAAAATAATTAATTAGTAATATCTGCAAAATGTTCTTAAGAATTCTTTTGCATTAGGCTTAGAAACATAATGAAGGAGATATCATTTCGAAAAAAGTTTTATTATTAAATAATAGTTAATCATATACAATGTATACTATTTTATAAGTTAATTGCTAAGGACACAATGTCTGCAAAATGTTTTGAAGAATTCTTTTGCAATTAGGCTTAGAAGCATAATCAAGGAGATGCCATTTCGAAAGAAGAAACCCCTTTCGGAAAAACAACTGAAATCTTCGATGTTTTCCACGCTTTCTTTTAGAATTCAGATCCACACGTGGAATCGGTGAAGCGTACTCTCAGAACACTCGAATTATTCTATTAAATATTCGAATATTAACTTGTAAAAGTCCTTGTTCCGCTTACGAAAAAATTATATTAATTCAAGGCCTAAACGAGATTAGGATTAAAAATTCAGCTTCGTCCTCCACTCGTATATATATATCTGTATATATAAATATTGATACCTATCATAAATTTCAACATTACACATCCAGTGAAATCATATTTTGTAACATAAAAAGAAAATAATAATAATGGAATATTCTTACGGTATCTTTATTGTTATCGCTTTTGTCGTTATCGCCGCTTCCGGAGATGTCGGAGTACGAGGACCCCTCATTACCATGCAGAAAGACGAACTGTTAAAAATCATAGACTGCATCAACGTGGGTAAGTTCTGGAAAACATATTTTTATTTATAGTATCTTAAATTCATTTTTAAAACTATTATTTCCCAAATATGAGCATTTTTACTTGCGTTTTCATGCACACATTTTCGTGCAATTTTTTTTAATTTTTAATTAATTGAGATTCTAATAAATTTTTAATTTAATTAAAAATGAAATTAAATAAAATTTAATTAAAATGAGATTAATAAATAAAATTATAATATGAAATTAAAAATAAAGTAATTAATAAAATAAAATTAATAAAATAATTAATAAAATAAAATTTATAATAAAATAAAATAAATTTATAAAAATAAAATTAATTAACATTTAATTACTTTAATAAAAATTTAATTTATTGAAATTGAATTTAATTAAAATTAAATTAATTAAAATGTTAAAATTAATTTTTATTTAATTAAAATCCTGGTAAATTTTAAAATAAAAATTTCAGCTACTAGCGAGAACATTAAAAACGTTAATTATATTGTGGCATAACTGCCAATACTATTATTAAACATCATTTCACTGGTATATAAGACATGCTTACTCGTTTCAATCTTGAGGTAATTCTTGATATTTTAAAGTTGGCATTATCAATTTCTTCTCTCCCCCACATTGCTGACCCGGACGTGCTATGATCATTTGCGAACGATTTTTCATCGCAGGTTTTAAAAATGTAGAAAAAATCATTCAGACTTCCTTTCAAAACATCTTTAAAACTTATTTTTAATTAAAATTACAAACTTAAGTTGAATAAACAAAACAAAAAACCGTAACTTGATTGCAGACTTTTATAGTGTAAGAATTTATTCCACTCTTTTTTTCAGAATCATTGTTTGCAATTCAAATTCAACTTTTATGTATAAATTTTTGACCATCTTTTATTTGCTATTTTTTCTGCATATGTGTTAGATAAAGTATAATTTATACAATTAGTATTCTCTTTCTTATGAAGATAGTGCTACAAATTTACTCCAAAACTCCTGGTACCTGGTGCAACCCTATTTATAAAAACTATTTTAATCTAACTTAATTTATTTCAAAAGAAACGTTTCAAAACGTTCGTTCAAAAAAGATATAACCAAAGTGTGTCCCAAATAAAAAGCAAACATCGAAAAACGAGGAAGTAGCGCCATGGAAGGAAGAGCAATATTTATATACTCAGATAGCCCCCCCCCCTCTATGGTTTCACCTGGATAGAGGGCCACTGTCCATTCATCTGAGTCAGCCATGTCGTTCCTTACAAAGTTTTTTTCGGAGGATAGGCGTGATTTTCAACGGATAATGATTTCCCCAAAATCCGGACGTGTCACCTCGGATCTATTTTCAATAAGGATATTTTTTTTAAAAAAAGAAGAAAAGAAAAAGCTGGGTATGCAGATTGCCCTGTATTCAAAAGTGAAATTTGAACAGGAAATCAAAAATATTTTCTCCCATTTGGGAGAACTGGCGTATTTTAAACTTTTGTAGGCGTATTAAAAACTTATTGGCGTATTTAAAATCTTATTCAAAATAAACGAATATTTAATAATAAAAAATTTAAAAGCAATTTGCGATAATATCTTTTGATTTTTCACATTTTTCTAATTTTACCAAGAAAAACTTCAATTTAAAAAATAAATAAATAAAAATAAAACAGCAATGAAAACAACGAAATGTTTGTTTTGGGATCAGCAAAAAATAATAATAATAATAAATCGTTGAATCATCTCTTTAATAATCTTGCTAAAGGTGAATCATTTGTCAACTGACAGATTATGAGAATTCAACATTCTTTTTAATTTGTTCTCAATAAACGTTCGTCCCGCAGTGGACTGATAGTAAAGACACGGTTCCCAGTAGAACACCGAAGTCAAACATCACTGGCTGCGGTCAGTAAGCGGGTGGATGACCACTTTGATCAGTCTGCGTAGGGACCGAGGTTGTGCGGTATGGGTCCTCGTTAAACTGTTCTACCGTAAAGTCCTCGACTTCGTGCAAGGGTCGTCGGGCTATCAAAGCGGAGAAGCCATCCCCTCTGCAGAGGATCAAAATTACGATGGCCCATCTTCGGATCATCCTCGGTGATCTTTCCAAGACCGTCGTAAATAGCCTATTGTGCAGTTCTAGTGCGACGTAAATAAAATACCTACCTACTTGTCACCTCGGAACCTATAGGGATATTAAAAAAAAAACTGAGTAAGCAGATTTCCCTGTATCTAAAGGTGAAACACAAAATCAAGAATATTTTTCCATAAATGTTGATTCATTTCTTTAATAATCTTGTTTAATGTGAATAATTTGTCAACTGACAGATTACGAGAATTCAATATTGTTCTCATTCCTTGTCCATATTGCGCTTCCCCGGGCTGTGTTTCATTTGAGACATACTGTACAATGTATAAAAACTGGTTGTCTAATAAGTAATTTGTTTCACTTTTTCTCATTTTTTTTAATGATACAGGGGACTGTCGTCCTGTCAGTTACTAAAATTAAATTCAAAATGTGACTTTACTTCAGTATTGATGCTGTAATTCAACGCATGCCGCGATAAAATTAAACAAAATATCAGTCCTAATATAAAATGTTCTTTATTTTCAGCTGAAAATCCTACTCTCTGCAAATACTTTAACAGATGCGAACAAAAAATGGCCGAACCGGTAAGTAACAATGTTTTTAGTAACATTCCATAAAAAAAAACATTAACAAAATGTTTTCTGGTTTAGAATAGGGTGCTCATTTTAGTTTGCCCAATTTTCTGGCAGAAAGCAGAAAAAAATTACTCAAAAGTAAAATTTTTTAACAGTAAGAAATCGCGTTAAAAATAATAGGAAAAATGGAATATTTCGTATGCAATAAAAACTCCCCAAAAAGAGCATACTATTCTGCACTCAAACCTGTTTTTCCTCCCTCTCTCTTAAAGATTTAATTCATGAAAACATTTGAAGTTCCGTAAAGGCCTGTTTACGCGGTTCTTGAATCTAAGAACTTGGAGAAATTTCTCTCTCCAAGAAATTGGATGATGTCATAGACACAATCCAAGTTCTTGAATGTCACTGATTGGTCGGAAGAAAACCCTGCTCATGCGCATTGTCCATATTCAACATTATGAAATCATACTTACATGAATTCAAAATTACTAAATAAAATCATAATAACACAAATAGACCCTAACAGATTAATTTGTTTGTATTAAAATATATGAAAGCGGACAACAAAATGACATAATCCGATGCCTGCTTGTTGACGTCACAAAACTTTTGACGCTGATTGGTTAAGGGAGGAGAAACTTGGATGGAAAGTAGAACATGCTTTACTAGCATCCAAGGACTTGGATGATCGTTTGCACGATCCAAGGAAAACAAGTTTCCATCAATTGCAATCAATCTTCGTCCAAGAACTTAGATCGTCTAAGCAGACCTTAAATATCTTTAAAAAATTTATGTTATAGCTTTGAAATGTTGTTTAATTGAAATGATGCCAAGTTGTAACTTTCATTTTCTTAACTCCGATTATTTCTCGTCAGGTGCAAATGGTGTTCCACAAATGCATAAGCAATTTCCCAAATGAAGGATCCAAGCAATGTGCCATCAGAGGAGGAAAGATGTTTTCATCCATGGAAATTCCATCTATGGTAATTCTTCACTCTCATACTATTTATAGGTCTTCTACAACTACGTGATTATTTTAACGAGAAGCAATTTTAGGATTGTGTGGTTTCAAATAGCTGATGAACTTAACATAAACTTACACGATACTTGCCGCAACAGTTCAGGGGGTAAAGCACTAAATTGTCATTAACTTAATTGTCATGACGAGGTCCGAGCCTCGATCCCCAGTGGCGGATTGAAGCGGTATGGATGGTTGACCGTGTAAGACTAAGTGCAGATGGCGCTGAGGTCAAAATTCTCCATAAGGTTTCCGAGTTACTACTTGCGTTAGATGGAGAGGAAAACCATGGAAACCTCCCACGGTAAGTCTGACGGCAAGGAGACTCTAACAAATGATCCGTGTACCACTGAAGATATTTTACGTCATCACTGCGTTGCAAGCCGAAAGCGGAATTCGTATCGACCAGCCATCGCATGAGATTCGAACCCGGTTCACCACAAAGGAAGGCGAGCAATCTATCCCTTGAGCGACCATTCCTGCACAATGTTTAGTGATACGTCTTTTCAATTATACCTCGATTTACATATAAGCAGTACTCTACTTTATAAACATACTACCAGCCTGCAGCGACCAGCTGGTTCGTCTACACAAACTCAAAAATTAAATTAAAAATCATCGAATTATTTGTTTTGTTTTCTTCCGGGTCTTATACGAATGAGGAATGTTCACTGCAAATGCTTATCATCTGAATCCGAATATTATCTGCTACAAATTTTTGGATGCCCCAATTTGAAAATTGCAATGGGAAAAAGGAAAGCAAAAATTTAGATTTTCAAATGTATTTTTTTATAAATCGAAAAAATCGAACTAGGAGAAAAAATGAGATGGCTCATTCTGAAGAAGAAGTTCTGAACTTTACGATGGAAAAAAAAGCTGAAATTCTAGGACGCTTGAACGCGATTGGTTCAAAGTGCAGAAGTAGCAAAGAATGCGCCTAAAATAACCCTGAGAAGAATTCATAATCAAAAACCAAATTTAAAAATCGCGATTCCTAATTTGTTTACTATAATGTCAGAAGTGCCAACTGCTCCGGACACTCCAAAATTATTAAATAAACGGTAAATAACTACAAACTAAATTTTGCAAATATTTGAGTATTTTTGCATGGTTTTTAAAAGGTGCCTTAGCTACAAAAAGTGGTAAATTACATAATCTTACGAAATATTTAGAAACAGTGGTGGATAAAAATCTACTAAATTGAATTTAATAAACCAAGAATCACAATTGATAAACTACCACTTTAAAATATTTATTTGCTGTCCGGAGCAAGTTGGCATCTCAATTAACTTCCTGTTGAATGTCGTATTTTTAATGCTCGCGATATACTCACAATCCGATGTGCCGACGTGCGCACGCGCAAATTCTTTATTTTATTGTGTGTATAGATAGAAAAATGTATTTCTAAAATAAGGTCACGCGTGGGTATTACTTTTGTCCACCATTTCGTCAAATTCATTTTACTGAAATAATTTTCGCGAAATTATTTTCAAGACTTAAATTTCTTAAAGACTTATTTATTTTCAAATTATTTATCCACATACAATTATTTATTTTCACAGATTTATGACTGTTTGAGGGCACATACTCCAAAAGTAAGTGATATTTATATTGATATTATAAAAACAATATATATATATAGTATATATATATAATAAATAAATAAATACAAGAAAACACGAAGAAAGTTAAGAAAAACAATAAGTTTCATTTAATGCGCTTAAGCAGCAAGTAAACAGAACTCATTAATATGTTCAAAATGAGGAATAAAACAAAGAAAAATAATGGACAAATGAAAAGAAGAAAANTATATATATATATATTAGCAAGCACTCCTTTTGCGGATATAATCGTGTGGGTGATGAAGAGATTACATCTTTTCATTATTTTGTTTTCTTATAATTTTAATTTATGTCTTTTTCCTTGTTTTTTTTTTCTAATTTTATGTTAAATATTTTTAAAAATATTTTAATTTTCTTCTCTTTTTATTAATCTTTATAATTTTCCATGCTTTCCCTCTCTTTCTATCTATATACTAGGGGCTAATCCCCCTGTTCGCTGCCGCTCGCCAACCCTGATGAATGCTTCGCAATAATTGTCTTTTCTTGGCAGAAAACAGTTTTGCTACGAAAGTTAAAATTATTCACTTAACATATATACTAAAAGGGATTCTGTTTGCTTCCGCTTGCTCCTCTACTTCCCACGTCCAAATATTACTATCAATTAGTATTATAAGCAATTAGATCTCTTGGTGAACAGAAATGATTTTTCGAAGTAATCATTTTTTAAAATAACATTTATGTTCTTATAATATCATATTGTTCAAACAAATTTCATGAGTTCACAACCATAATTTAATATTTTCGCTAATAATAGCAGTACTGGAAAATAACTCTAAATTAGGGATACAGAAATATTTAAAGGAAAACAATATCTTTACGACTTTTGTTAATTTTATGCTAATGATATATATGTATTTTTTGACAAGTTGACCTAACATATATGTATCGATACATAGATAGACATATTGAAAAATACAAAGTATATCCAAAAGTTAATTTATGTTAATGTAATTAATGGGAAATAAGGTTGATTCATATAAAAAAAAATTAAATTTAAGTTTCATCAATCGTAGATAACTACAAATACCATCAATTGGAGATTATTAAAGAAACATTAAAAATTTAAAAATACTATTCTATTTAAAAAAGGTTTATATAATTTAAATTAGAAGTATTAAGTTTTCCAGAAAAACATTTTTGCTAAACATTATTAATTATCCTAAATAACATTTAATTAAAGCTTTTATTGATAAATTTAATGAGAAGAAAATGATATTTTTTATTTCAAAATCCTTATTGTTTTAAACTAAACATGGAGAAAAAAAAATATTAATGGTAATTAATACAATAGTCTGAAAATAATAATAACTTTTTTTTACTTTAGTTGACTGCTGAAGATGCTAAGCAAATGATAGATTTTGAAGTGAGTACTTTATATTTTATTTGTTTTTAATCCATCTTTTGAAATCAAAACTTTTATTCTATGTACTATCTGTCCTTACTGAGAAACTATGGCTCACCTAATAGGGTGCCCCTGAAAGAGTGGCCAACAAATCTGCCCTGTAAATGCCTGAAATTTTTCATTTTATTTTGTAACCGTGGTTGAATAGCCGATCAATTTTATGAGTTATGACTACTAATGTTCAACTCCGTAGCCTTGCAATTTTGAACCCAATCCAGAAGACAAGGGAACTCCTGGATCGAGTATTAGGAGAAGTTAGCCTTCCTGGAGGACTTTTTGATATAGCTAACACGCATTTGCGTTACATGGAGAGGAAGACCACGAGAATCTCCCACGGTTAGCCTAACGGCAAGGGGACTCTAACCCATGATCCGTCTACCACTGAGGATATTTCACGTCAGTGCTGTGGTCGATGCAAGCCGGATGCGGAATTCGTATCGACCGGGATTCGAACCCGGTTCACCTCATTGGAAGGAGAACGCTCTATCCCCTGAGCCATCACGGCTCTTAAATGCCTAAATTGACGAAATGTTTGGAAATATTTTTAAAAAAAATTGAATCCGTTTTCACCAATTCATAAACAACATTTCATGTCCTTTTTGCATCCGCTATTATCGTTTTTGCTGTTTGTGTCCTCTGCTACCCTTTCGCAAATAATCTATTAACTCTTTTTATTTTTCGCAAAGTTTGCAGGGATTTTCCGTAATAAACAAAATCCTTGTCAGAAATGCAATAAAAACAATTACACACATTCGCAAATTAATTCTAAAGGGAGGAAGGAACCAATTTCTATCGAAATCTAACATAGCGAAAGCTAAGAAAGAGACCATCAAAAATCATTTGATTGACTTGTCCAGCGGCTCCCAAATGGTTTTTCACGGAACCCTATGGTTCCGTCGTAATCATTTAAGCGTTTATAACAGTTCTGTTTTTCATAGTAATATAAAAACAAATTGAAATATGCTTCTGAATCTTGGACAATGACAAATGTGGAGGAAAATTGTATCGTAATATTTGAGAGAAAGATTTTGAGGAGTATATTCGGTGGTGTAACAATTACTGGAGAAAGAGATGAAAATTTGAGCTGTACAAGATTCATAAATAACCTGATATTATTGAATACATAAAAACAAATAGAACGAATTGGATGACCCACGTTATTCGAATGAGTGAGGATAATAGAATAAAAAAGATATTGCTTTTTAGACCCACTGGAACAAGAAAGCGGTTGAGATGGGCTGACTCGGTGGAGACTGATTTTCTTGCAATTCATGAAAAGAATTGTTGATGAAATAGAAATCGGAAGTCGTCATGGAGAAATATTCAGAGGAAGGCATTGGCCCACATTGGACTGTCTGGCGAACTATGATGATGATGATAGTGATAAAAGCAAATTTTTAGCTAGATTAGATTCATTTTAAGGACTGCGAATTCGACTGTAGAATACAAAACCTAATTTAAAATTTTTAAACGGTAGAAAAAATTCAGTCATTTTATTAAATTTAAAAAAAGTCCAAAAGTCATAATAAAGTAGTCTTTTGATAGATAATACATATACAATTGTTCTGATTTACTGTAATTGTGAAATCGGGGTTCCGCCGGAAATAGTTTTATAATTTAGGGTTCCGTAAACGAAAAAAAACAGGGTCCCGCTAGACTGGTGAATATCATTGAAATTTGAACTTTTGGAACTTTTATATTAAACTTTTTCTCTCTGTTTCTTCTGGCCTATAGACAGAATCACGTGTTACCCATGATACTCATTATTTCACAAAATACTTCAATGCGCGACCCGTGAAATTTATTAACATCTTTATAAACGCCAAATAAGTTTCTATAAAAAAAAAACTTATCTACAAAAATGTCATTGACACATTCTTCTCATTTGTGAACCAGACGAATACCGTAAGTCGAAATATTCGTTTAAAAAAAATATGATACACAATAATAGAGAGAAAATAAGCAGAATTAAAAAATTAACGCAATACCAACTCCATTGTAACGATGACATATTCTGATACAAAACTTTCAGACAAACATTTATTATTTATTATTTGCTGCACAATATGTATATATGTGACCAATCGTAGGTCAACAAGATTTATGGAGAGAAAAAAACCAATTCAGCATGTAGCAGTAGTGCAAAAATAAATTAAAGAACAAAATAATGAAATACATAACTCCTTTCCTTTCCATTAAGTTCGAAAATATTGTTCTACTGTAAACATAATTATAAATAAAACGCTTGATGCGTTATCAAGAACTTCAGTCACAATGGAAATTTTTAAATCTATGTTTATGTAGAAATCTTTGTAAGTGAAAAAGTGTTTTCCTGATGAAAGATATTCTAATGTTTTGAACTTATTTGATTTTGGAATATTAGGAATTTATGTTCGTATTAACATACACCGTAAAAAATACTAGGTAAATCCTTAACTAGTGTTTGGTGCAAAGTTTCTCATCATTACAAAGTTTAGCTAAATGAAAAAATCATTTGTTTCAGTTACACCATAAATTGCACCATAAAAAAACTGGCAACTGACTGCACTAAAATTTGGTAAAAGACACAAAACTTAGACGGTGACTGTAAAGTGAACGATATTTGTTTACGACGCCATGTTATCTTTACAACTCGATCTCGGTGTATCGGGACCACTAATGCATGTTGTTTTAAGTTTCTACTTATTTAGGTAAATGGCTTATTTGCACGAATTAAAGTTCATGTCTTTTATGTTGCCTTTTTAAATTTGATTGACGGTATAAAATCGTTAGAAGTATATCATAAAATAACTTCTTACGGTAAATATCTACCTTGGCCTGCATTTGAGCACTTTAAAAATACCGAATAATGTTGCAACCTTCCTCTGTTGTTATAAAAAAAAAATTTAAAAAAATTTAAAAAAAAGAATGAAGTTTGGTGCTTTGTTTCTTCAAAACACTTACTTTTGGTGCAATCTTTTACTGATATTTGGAGCTAATAAAATACCAAACTAAGGTAAAATTGAGCTCCATTTTATGTATGCCAACTTTTGGTGCAACTAGGCTCGAATTTTTTAACACTATAGTGTTAAATCTATTAGTATTCTTTTTTAAAAAAACTGTCTTCGTATACTTGATTTGCTGTTGTCGTCATAAATGTTATTTTTGTAAACAGTGTAGTAAACAGTGTAATAAACACTGCGTATGCATCGTCGTTGCATACGTTGCTATGTCGACCGCTGCTATTTTTCTTCTTACTAGGAGGCTCCGCCCCCTGCTCGCTAACGCTCGCCAACCACCGAGAATTGCTACGCAATCCTATGTGGTTCACGCCGTGAACCATGGCCGCTGCGCTCGCTCGCCAATGAACACAATGTTCTAGCACAAAGACATAATATACTATCATCAAAGACATAGTATTTTATCATCAAAGACATAGTATTGTACTTATGTAGAAGAATTCTACCAATGTTCTTATTGGCTTTTAAAAAAGTATATTAGCTATTTAGATTGTACATGGTGAAAAAATCAAAACATTAGCTAAATAAGAAACATATTAGCAAAATAAATTATCAAATATTGCTTCACTAATATTCTGCATTTTAAAGCGTGAAAATTCAATGCATAAATAAACGCGAAATATAAAAAAATTCAATGCATTCAATACAAACACTTAAACGTTTTTTAGACGTTTAGGTAGCTCCCAGTAGAAAAATATCAATTCAACAGCGGCCTTTTAAAGCATTCTCACTTCAATTAATTAATTAATTCCTAATTGAGTTTAAATTAAATATTGTCATGTTTTTAGTGCATGAATCTGAATTGAACAACCTGATAATGCTCACTCTGGTTATTGTTATCTGGTTGCTCACTACGTGCTCTTGCGCGCCGAATCCAATCAATTAAAAATGAAAACTGTTGCCAGCGCGAGAAAAGAAATATCATCGGCTTTATTGATACATACATACGTACGTATTAGCGTTTTATATAATATAGATAGATTTTCCCTAACGGGCATTTTTAATGTATTTACATAATAATAATATAAGGTATTTTTATATTCTTTTCATTATTAACGTATAATGACTGGCTTGACGGTGATTTTAATTTAAATATAAATACCGAAGAAGGAAAAGTATTTTGTGACGTCATGAAACACGTACATAGGCAGGATAAGAAAATCATTCCGACGACAAACCTCAATGGAGACAGTTTTTGCATCCCATGATTGTCGCATTTATCGGAGTCAATCCAGAAAGAAGAAGCATTTGATCAATGGGTAACCAGTTATTGCAATAGGGCGATCACAACTTTTATTTATTTTTCTTATTTTCATTATTTTTCATTTTCAGACCTGTGCAAGAGAGTTACATGTTGGAACATGCAAATACAACCCTTTTGTACCAACAGCTAAATTCTACACATATTAGTGAAATCTTCCCTGTATGTGACACACCTCATGACGACTTGGAAAATGTAACATGCGTATTTATTCTGTACAGAAAGAGATTTCAAATTCCTATTTCTGAAGAAAAAATAGTTGTATAAAAAGAATAGAATTATACATAATTTTCCTTTTGAATATTTTTTTAATAAACTACCTCACTTAAACTGTTTTTTTTAATTAAAAAAATATTGCATTTGTTTGTTCTCTTTTTATTTTAATTTGAATGTTCTATGATTATAGCACTAAATTCAATCGAATTAACAATTAGAAATCCACATGTCCTTAAACTACACTGGTCGACAAAATTAAGAGATGGAAGACATTTTCCCAAATATCTCAAAAAACACTGAATATAAATGAATGAAATTTGGTATGGATATAGCTTATTCCGTGATAATAAAGTATGCAAAACAAAAATGAAAGTGCCATTCACTGGCAAGACCTATTGCCAAGAAGTCCGATGTAGTCTGAACTTAAGGATAAAAGATGACAATAAAAGTGAGGCTAGTACAGTGTGTGTTGCCTCTAGTATGGTCACCCCTGACAGACAGACAGCATGCACAGCGAGTATGCATGCTGTTAATAAGGGAGTTAAGGAGGACTTGTGGAAGACCCTCCCATTCTTCCACCAGAGCAATTTTTAACTCCAGAATGGTTCTGGGGGGAGGTTGGCGCATCGCAATAGCTATCCCAAGCATGTTCAATAGGATTCAGGTCAAGGGATTTCGCTGGCCAATCCGTTCGTTGAATATACTCGCTTTCCAGATACTCATCAACCATGAGAGCTCTATGTGGTCGCGCATTGTCGTCTATAAAAATGAACTCAGGGCCAACAGCGCCCCTGACAAGACGCACATAGGTCTCTAGGACCTCCTGTCTGTACCTCTGGGCATTCACGGAACCATTGTCAAACGCATGGAGCGGTGTGCGGGTATCTTGCATGTGCGAATGAATGTGCGAAAATGCTTTCCATCTCTTAATTTTGTCCACCAGTGTAGTTTTTATACGTGAAAATAAAATGATCAGAACAAAAAATTTTCGGGTAATGTTTTATTTTTGCTCATGATACAAGGCGTCAAATTAAAAGCAAAATATCGCACTAACTTTTGATCTTATTATCGTACGTACAATGATGCAACTTTGATTAGTCCGGACGATTTATGTTTAACAAACATGCCTTCTTTTCTGAAGGATTTGCGTTTATGATACTTAAAATAAGCGAAGTATTAGCAATCAGGAAAATTTGATTCCAAAAGTTTAATTTGAAAGGATGGTCATAAAGTTGGGACCCATTATGTAAAATTTACATTTTGCGTATATCTCCAACAATAAGTCAATAAATTTTTAAAATACATTATCTTTTTTTTTTCAGTTTGTCACTTGAATTTTGCCGATTCTTGTTCAGCGCCCTCTATACAAATTATGAAAATGGCGCAAAACATCATTATGAGGAAATATCATAGTTTTTTGGAGAAAAAAAACGTTTCTAATCTTTTTTTTTATATAATGTTAGAAAAGTTACTCCAATGTAACATGGTTTGGGCTCAAAAAAAGTTTTAAAAACTAAGAATCTATTGATTATAATAATTTTCATATTAGTGGAAAAAATTGGCAAAATTGGCGGCTTTTAAAAAAAATTCAAGTTTCCTGTCCATCTCAAAGTCCAGAGAATTCTTAAAAATGGTTTAATTTAGCTGAGCCGTGGTGGCTCAGGGGATAGAGCGTTCGCCTTCCAATGAGGTGCCCCGGGTTAGAATCCCAGCGATGGCTGGTGGATACGAGTTCCGCTCCCGGATCGCACCGACCACAGTGCTGACGTAAAATATCCTCAGTGGTAGACGGATGATGGATAAGAGTCCTTTTGCCATTAGGCTAACCTTGAGAGGTTTGCGTGGTTTTCCCCTCCTTGTAACGCAAAAGCGGGTGAGTTCTATCAAAAACTTCCACACGAAGGCAAATTTCTCCCAATACTTGATCCAGGAGTTTCCCCGTTTTCTGGATTGGGTTCAAAGATACAAGGTTACGAAATAGTAGTCGTAAACCCTAAATTGGGTCAGCTATTCGAAGACGGTTATGAAATAACAAATCACTAAATTCGTTTATTTGGACGTAATTTTCAAAGCAGGGGATGACTCTCCTGCTTTGGTAGCCCGACGACCTGCGAGCAAAGTCGAACACTTTACGGTAGAACAATTTAACGAGGACCGATACCACGCACGCTCGATCTCTACGCAGGGTGATCAGAGTGGTCACCCACATGCTTACTGACAGCAGCCAGTCATGCCTGACTTCGGTATTCTACTGGAAGCCATGTCTTTACGATCCGTCTACTGCGGGGCAAAAATGTAACTGAAAGGTGACGAAATAATTTAATTTATCTTACTATTTATAAAAATGTTGGAGTCGCAGTTTTCTATTGTTGACGGTGCACTTTTATTGGCCCAAAAACCGTAAGAAAGGATCCAGTTTTCTCACATTAATTGTCATATTGGTTTGGTTGTCATCAGCAAAAAAATGGTATAAGTCATAAAGTTATTGTTTTCCTATTAATATTTTTGCATCCCTAATTTAAAATTATTTACCTGTAATGTTATTATTACATTTTTCATTATGTTTGTTTTCTAAATTAAGAGTTTAAGAGGATTGTTTTTATTATTACTGTTGTTAGAATAACGTAATTGTACGTTACATTTTAAGATAAAGTTCATTAAATCTCCTTAATCACTTTACAATTATTATTCTTTGAACCAATTACATTAATATACTATTATGAATTACGGTTACAGAGATTCGATAAATGATTTAGAACTTAACGATAACCTTCGTGCACAATGAGATGCAAGCAATAATTGTATTTAATATATTCAGTCGGACCTCTATTTAACGAAGTCGCTAAATCCCGATAAAAAGTTCGTTATATGGGAAATTCGTTAAATAGAAAATCACCATTTTAAATACTTAAAGAACACAAAACAGGTTTTAAATTCATAAACACTAGACATAATTAAAATAGCAATGGATATACTTTTATCTTGTAAATTATTATCTACTATCGAATTATTTCAAATGATTTTAACATTTATCATATGAAGGTTCTTCATCATTTCCGTCTTCATCTTTCTCACAATTTAGTGCTGTTTTTTACTTTTCACGCTGTCCGAAATATCCGATTCAGTTAATGTTTCTGTGGTTGCGGCTTCAGAATCAATAAAAAGAAAATCATTAACCAGTACATCATCATTAATTTCGTGGTTTTCCCTTAGCTGTACCCATATTTTTTAAGTTCTTCTAAAGGAGTGTCATCCTCGTCCTCCGCACTTTCCACATTCTTCGCTCTTACTAAGAATCCAGCTTTTAGCAAAACTGTTACGAATAGTACGATCTTTAACATCATAGTTCCATGCTTTAGAAATTTCTATTATGCTTTTACGTAAATTGATTTCTGGCATGGATTCCTGTATAAAATGCAAACAAAAAGGCAAACGTATTTTACCGTTAAACGGCTGCGAAAAGGTCATTTTCTCCATAGAATGCGTTAACAAGTTTGAAATGTTCAAAAATATTTCGTTAAATAGGGAAAGTGGATCTTAAAAAAAAGTTCACTAAATAGAAAATTCACCTCGCTATCTATATATATATTTCTCTAACACGGCGCCAAAAAAAGCCTCATTACAACTCCCCGAATGGCAAAGCTAGAAAATCGACCGATGATTGCCGCTAAAAATGTCACATGCCAAATCTAGTGGAGGTGGCTCAACATATAGCGCTTTTAAAAACGGAAACTGAAATAACCAGAGAGAGCATTCTCAACAAATGTGATGTCTCACGAAATTCATCCTATCAGCTGCGGCAATCTCATTCTATTAAGCTAGGCAGAAGTGAGTAGTCTTTGTCGATAGATCTCTATTTTAGTATTTCGTCGAAAGCGCTTTTTTTTTACGAATTTATGTATCACTAATTTATTTGACGATTTTTGATTTATATCACGAATTTATTTGTTTTATTATTGTTATTAGTTATTCGTTGAAAAATGAGTCTCAATCGTGCTGTTACGCTTTATGATTTTATAATATAGCACATTTCTAATAGTTTTAACGAATTACACGTCATTTATTTGAATTCAAATTTATTTTAATGACTTAGTATTTACTAAAAAGATGTAATTTTTTTTAAAAAAAAAAGTTTTTATATGGATTTGAATGATTGTTTTGAATTCTTAGAATTGTGTGCATTTGCAATGTACCTAAGTTAGTAGCGAGCGAAACGCGCTTGGTTTGCGAAGCAAACCATATAAGATTGCGTAGCAATTTTCGGGTGTTGGCGAGCGTCAGCGAGCAGGGGGAGCAGCCCACTAGTTTATTTTATTTATCTTTTATTTTATAACCGTCGTTGAACAGCCGACCCAATTTTATGGGTTTACGACTACTAATGTTCAACTCCGCAGCCTTGCAATTTTTAACCCAATCCAGAAGACAAGGGAACTCCTGGATCGAGTATTAGGAGAAGTTAGCCTTCGTGGAGGACTTATTTGATGGATCTAACTCGCATTTGCGTTACATGGAGAGGAAGACCACGAGAACCTCCCTCGCTTAACCTGATTGCATGCCGACTTTAACCTAGGATCCGTCCACCATTGAGAATATTTTACGTTAGCACTGTGGTCGATGCAAGCCGGATGCGGAATTCGTATCGACTGGGATTCGAACCCGGTTCCCCTCATTGGAAGGCGAACGCTCTATCCCCTGAGCCATCGCGGCTCACTTCGCTATTTTACGTAGAAAAAAATTGTAAAATAGCGAAAGTCTCAAAATCGAAGTTCGTTAAATAGAAGTCCGACTGTTTATCCGCCCATTTGGTTAGCGGAAATATTAAATTAAAGTTGCGAACTCAATAAATTTGTTCGAACAATATAATGATATGTCAATATAAATGTTATTTTAAAAAATGATTACTTAGAAAAATTACTTCTGTTCACCAATATATCTAAGTATTTATAATAAGTAATAGATAATAATATTTGGATGTGGAAAGGGAAGGCACGAGCAATCTGAATTCTTTTTAGTACATATATGCATAGTAAATAATTTCTACTTTAATAGAAAAACTGACAAGAATCAACAATTATTGCGAAGCAATCATCAGTGTTTGTGAGCGGCAGCGAATTTGGAGGCTTAACTGCCTAGTTCAAATTATGATCAGTTTTATGAGTCAAATAGTTTTATCAACAAACAAAACAAAAAATGTCTCAACAATAGAACCATAACATCTCAAAAAAATATCTCAAATAGTTCTCATTAACATCAATGACCGAAAGTATAGAGAAAAATACCCTCATTTCTGCAATTTGATTTCAAACCGTTAACTCCCGAAGCTTTAAATAAACATTATCAACCCGTACAGTTTTTGTCTATCCGTGCAATGTTAATATATTTCACAGCTAAATTTGAATTCAATAAAATTAAGTCATTTTTACAGAAATCCCACTTCTACGCATGCATTCACCATAAACACATTTATTAGAAAGAAAAGAAACACCGATTCATGATTGTTCAACGCAATTTAATCCGTATTGTCTGAAACGGTGAATAGTTGATGAGGCGTCGGCGCAGGTAACAATTCGAATAATTCCATATTAATTCACGTTCACGGGTTTTCGAATCTTTCCAAGAAAACCGTTATCATTCAAGGACTTTTAAATGTGAAAATGATTCGAAAATAATTGCGTTTTTTCTATGTTTCCAATATATATATATGTCTAAGGAGATGAAACAAAATCGTAATATTGTTTCGAATCTGATAAACGTGAATAACGATGTGTTTCAGGATTGGGTTAGTTTTATTCTTTGCTGTGTTCGCTTACGTTGTTCTATGTGATGGTGATGATGGTTGCGATGAAGTGGATCCTCCCCTGCAGACGATGAAGCATAAGGATTTAGTCAAAACGATTTCCTGCATTAATGAAGGTAAATTAATCATAAATATCGTTTTATTCCATTAGTAATCATTTTCTTTTGTTGATAAGAATTTGTATACCGCCCCCCCCCTTCCCCTGAAAAAGAGTATGCAGTGAAAATTTTAGACCTGTCACCACGATAGACCCAAACAGGAGAGGGGGGATGACGCAGGTTCACACCGGGAGTGCCGGACGAGAGACCCGGTGAAGCCCCTCCGTGGCATTTATTGAGCAACATAATGTTATACGAGGGTTGCTATTTATATTTCTGGCCTAATAATGAAAAAACAAACATGTAGGATCGAAATTGGTTTTATTGTTTTTCAAAATATTCTCCATGATGATCAATACACTTTTGCATGCGTTTGAACCAATTTTCAAAGCACTTTTTCCAGTCCGATTGAGGTAACTCCAAAACATGCGTTTTGAATGCATCAACCGCTTCTTCGGGGGTCGAAAATCGTTGTCCACGTAATTTATTTTTGATGTGTGGGAATAAGAAGAAGTCATTGGGTGCCAAATCAGGGCTGTACGGCGGATGACCCATCAGTTCGATCTTTCGCTCCGTCAGAAATGCCTTTGTTTGAGTCGATGTGTGAGAGCTCGCATTGTCATGATGAAGAATGATTCGCCTGTTCTTCTGCTTTTTTCGAATTTCTCCGATGACTTCTGGCAAACAAATGGTCGTGTACCATTCAGAATTGACCGTCCTGCGTTGCTCTAACGCCACTGTTGCCACATGACCGTTAATGCCGAAGAAACAGGCAATCATTTGTTTCGATGTGCTTCTTCCTCGAACAACTTTTGTTGGTTTTGCCTCGTCTTGGAAGACCCATACAGTTGATTGCTGTTTTGTTTCCGGCTCATATGCATAGATCCATGATTCGTCACCTGTGTAGATGTTATACACAGCCTTTGATGTACCTTGAACGTATTTTTCCAACATTTCCTTGCACCAATCGACACGAGCCTTTTTTTGAGCGTTTGTCAGATTATGCGGGATCCAACGCGAACAAATTTTTTTTACGCTCAAATGTTCATGCAATATTTTATTGATGCTAGTCATACTAATGTCCAAAGACGCCTCTATCTCACGGTATGTCACATGACGATCTTGCTTTATCAGTTCACGCACAGCATCGATCTTTTCTGGCACAACAACGGATTTTGGACGACCTGCACGGGATTCGTCCTGGATCGAACATCGACCACGATTAAATTCGTTATACCAATTTTTTACAGTGCTGTAGGATGGCGCTTTATCGCTGAATAAAGAATTAAGTTCATCGAAGCACTCTTGTCTTGACAATCCACGTCGAAAGTTATGAAAAATAATGGCACGAAAATGTTCACGATTCAATTCCATTTTTTGAAAGAGAAGAACTTTTCAATTTACTGTCAACAACACAAATGAAGCTATAATGGTAAATCGTCTGCTGAATTTATATTTAAAAATATCAAACTTTCGATTAAAATCATCTGCGGTCGCCTAGCAACACTTACTGTTGCCAAGGCCAGAAATATAAATAGCAACCCTCGTAACATTACAAATGTTATTTTCAAAAGTGATTACTGAAAGTAATTACTTCTGTTCACCAATAGGTCTAAATATTTATAATAGAAATAGATAATAATATTTGGACGTGAGAGGTGAATGCACAAGTGTAAGCCAACAGAATTCTTTTCAGTACATAAGTAAATAGAAAGCCCCCTAGTTTTTAGAAATAAATTTCTTAAAAAGACAATAATTTTTTTCAAGCAATTCAACTTTTGCACTTCAGTACACACATGCGTACAGCTGAATTCGACTAATATTTGCCTAATAAAGAATCTAAGTACAGTGCACTAAAAAATACGCACCACCCCGAATAACTTGTTATCTAATAGACAGATTTTCTACTTAGGTTCAACCCTAATGGTTCGAAGGGTAGACCTTAAATATGCAATGCAATAAATAATTTTCGAATGGTTGCAATATGGAAAATACGGTTCCAGTTACTTAATTGGAAATGCGAAGTCGAAAGTTAGAACCTCATACTAATTTCAATAATTTATATTCAAAGAGCATATTGAAATATCTCACTTTGTTTATACGAAATGTTTATAATAAGTACCAAAGTATTGTATGATATTTTTTTATTACTTATTTTCTGAATTGTTTTCTCTGCATCAGATTTAAACTCTTTGTCTCTGAAATCGAGATCTATGTACCAAAATTCTTGTATCGAATACAAATAATTTGAAATCAGTATGTATTTTATGCAAGTTTTTAATGCTAATATTTATAAACGCAAAATATTTTTTTTCTAATGGCAGGGATTGAACTTTTACGTTCTTCGCCTTGCAAGCTGCCGGTAGTATGACTCATTTAACGTTACTCAGTGGGCACCTATGAACCTAAGTCACGGAGGCGAGCCACACTGCCGCAGATCACCGTTTATAGGGTGGGCCACATTCACTCATCACACAATGGAGAACAACACACAGAGAGAAACATCCATACCCTGAGAGGGATTCGAACCCGCAGTCATTGGCTTCGCAGTCAGGCACGCTAACCGCTCGACCATCTGGTCGGCTAAACACGAAATATATAATTTTTTCTCACACAAAATATAAGCTCTTTCAAAAAGTATACATATTAGGGGTTGCAAATTTATATTAAAGCGAAAAAAAATCACAACCGCTCTCTCATCGAAAACTGTGGAATCACTAGTGAAATAGGAAGAAACGAAAAAATGTCTTCAGTTGTTTGGTAAAATTTGCAGATGTTTTTAACAATCGCCTCTCAAAATCTTCTCTTTTATAAGCAATCAAACATTTAGATTTTTCTGTCTCACTTTCCTCAGTAGTACTTTGTTAGATTTTGTTGCCATTTTTGTTTTTGCCACTATTCCATATATTCATTTGAAGCCCCCAATACTTTTTGACAAAGATTTTAGAAACCTAACATTATAAATGCTGTGTTTCTGGAATATCCTGTGTATTTCTTTTTAAAAAACGATTTGAGTTATAAAGGGTTAAAATGTGAAGGGCTTAAGAAAAAGAAAGTCACATTGACATTTTGAAAACTAACGATTGAAGATTTTGCACACCCCCTTTGAAATTCTGATAAAGCATTTTTTTTTATTTCAGCTCAAAACAAGACTATTTGCAAAAAGTTTCATCACTGTGAAGAAAAGATGCCAAAAGTGGTAAGTATTATCTTTATTCATTTATTTTGAGGAAAATACTTTGTTTATACTTCTTTTAGAAGTAGCCATGATTTATCTATGAATAAGAGTAGCAACTGATATAAAAATTTGATGATTTGAGTGACCCAACCTCTCATAAATTTCTTATGCAGCATGCATTACTAGGTAGCCTCTCTTACTAACCCTAACGATTCTTGACGATATAAATAAAGTAAAAAACGTTAAAAAAGTTTTTAAAAAAAACGTTGAATAAAGTAAAAAGCGTGAATATAGAACATATAAAAGTGGCATGTATTACTCGGTAACCTCTCTTACTAACCCTAACCCAACCGAGAGGTTTTACTGTAGTGGATTTAACCAGCTGGGGGGACAAATAAGGTATTAAAAGATGGGAGATAAAGAAAACGTTGTTGTTGCTTACCTTCATAGATCTGACATTAGTCAAGGACTGGTATCTTAGGACAGGACGCCGTCAGCTGGAAATCAGCGCTAACCTCTGATTGGTCCATTTGTGAGTTTGATAGTATACGTCATCGAACGCTCATCTTGAACTACAATTGCCGTCCAACTCAACTGCAGTTGGATTACAACGTGACGTTAACCACAGAAGCAATGGCGGACAACATCCAACAGCACATTGAAATCAGCCAAGATTTTGATTTTGACATTAAACATAGCTTCTTCATTAAACATAGCACTCTTCATTTAGCTCAGCTATAATGTGTTTTTTCTTGGACAAAGTCATTATTTGTTCTCTATAACACTGGTCGACAATAACAAAATCAATAGAAATTCAAAATAAATATTTGTTTACGTTATTAACGCATGCGCAATGAGAGATAATGTCTGCGTTGGGCCGACTGCTTACGCTGAGCTAACAAAAAAGTATTTTTTTTGGCGTCAGCTCTACGTCAACTTTCCGCTGACTCCCAGATAAGACGCTAGTTCTAAGAAACCAGGCCTTGAGCTAACAAGCCAGTATTTTGTTGGCGTCAGCGGCACGTTGACGTCCCGCTGACGCCCAGATAAGGCGCTTGTCCTAAGAAACCAGACCTTCAGATCAACTCCAAAAAGTTGTTGACAGCCAGAAAGTTGATGACAAGAAGGAGATCGGAAGTTAAGTCCGCCCTGGATAGTCCGACACAATTTAGGTGAGGCTGGATGGACACAACATTTTTTGCAAGTCGGGTAAATTTTTGTGCCACGTTCGAATGTTAGACATTTTAGGTGACCAGTTGAGAGTCTGGCCAAGGCAGTCTGGGAGCTTCGATCGCAGTTGATTCCCAGAAGGGTGCCAGGACACGTTGCGGTGTACCATTGGTGCGTAGGCGCAGTTTGCAAGATTGATTTTTGTCTATATTTGTAAATCTAGTGAAGTTCCTGATAAGTAAGTGATGACCCGGTGGATATATCTTCCTCACTGTCCTCTTTGTCCAATCTATCTGCTATCTGATATATAGAAAGAAAACATGCGACAGGGGACTTAAGTCTGCAATCACTTTTTAAACCCCTTTTCACGCCCCAGTCAAAATTCTTGATGATCCCATCACATCATTTTGATGGTTTATGTTGGTTTCAGTGCTATTCATGATGGTCCGACATCATTTGATGGTCACCATCATCCAACATTTTGCATTATGCATTCATGGTTTTTCATGTGCCATCGAACTCCCATCATTCCTTGATGGAAAATGCTACTTTAATACTATGAAGGTTAACCAGCGAAAGAAGTTTGACTCTCATGAACCAACAATCCATGATGATCCGTGATGGTTCATGATGATTCCAACTATATATTTCCATGATGGTTAAATGGGAATTCTTGTTGGTTCTCAGGAATATACCATCAACACAATTTGTTTTTTTTTTAAAAATTGGACCATTATAAATCAGTCCGAGTTCCTACATTGGGATGGTGGTTGTCCATGATCACTCCAACCTTTGATTTCTAAGGTATTATGATGAAAATTCGTGATTGTTCAACATGAACAAACCAACACAACAAGTTGCTATTCTTATGTTGGACCTTCATAAATCAGTCCGAATTCCAACATTGGGGTGATGGTCACTATCAAAAATATAATGGAATCATTGATGGTTACCATCAATATTATGTTGGTCAATCAGTGGAAAAGCATCAAAAATTTGGACTTAGACGTGCACACGTCGTTACTTTTCACTTACAAAGGGTCTTTTTTATGTAGATCCGAAACTATATTATGATTTCTGCACTTTTATTAGCGCTATATTCGCTTTATATTTTTCTTGCTCTATAAAACAGATTAAACTTCCGATTCAACAGGAATGAAATTTTAAAAAAAAATTTACTAGATTACCACCATTGTAAGTTCATTTTCAAATTTGTTTTTTGAATTCCAACTAATTTTTTTGACTTCTACATAACTTCGTTAAATTCTTTTCGTTGTTAAATAAAACTATCAAACTGACATTATTCCTAGATTAGCTATAATTCAGCAAACAGCATCTTAGTTATTTCAACACACAGCGAACCATATCTCGAACATCGGAGGGTGACGAACATTTCACCAACAATCAAAGGTTTTAAAATAGCCTGACTTTTCTTTTACCTGACTCTGGTAACTTTTTATTTTCTTTCAAAAAAATTGAAAGGATGATTTATTCAAAGTATATTATTTTCCTTGGCATAAGGCCCATGCGCTTTCTGTGAAAATTTATTTGATTATTTATTCCAATTTGCCGACAGGACTGCGTAGAAGTCAGGAAACTGGCCTTACTGGTTCTGAGTTCGAATACCGGGCAATACATGGATGTCCTTTCATTCTCTGTACTATGTGTCCTTAGTGTGGGAGCAACATTGACCCACCTGAAAGAGTGGTCAACAAATCTGCCCTGTAAATGCCTGATTTGACAAAATGCTAACACAGGTGGACATTGGGGAAAAAAATTATTGCAATTTTCAATTCTTTTACAGGTGAAAAAGGAATTTAAGAATTGTGACAAGGATTATTCCGGTGAAGGAACTAAAAAATGCATGAAAGACGGATCGAAAATGTTCGAATCTAAAGATCACCCAGAAAAGGTAATTTGTTTACTAATACTAGCATAATATATATGAAGAGATGAAAGATAACCTTAGGAGAAAAGGTCGCGTTTTTCAATTTCAAAGAGTCTATTTTTCTTCGCTCTGAAAAACTTAGAAGAAGAAAAAAAACACAAGACATTATCGTAAGATTTTGTTTTCATATATGTTTAGATATTTTTGAAAGTATATTTTTTGTTTATAATACGTACAGTACTTTTATGGACGTTTATGGATCATTTCGAACGCTTAACTTTCTATTTAAAACGTTTGCGGGATGGGATACTCGCAAATGACATGGTGTGGGTATCTCGATCCTGATTGGTTGTTAAAATGTGACATTTACTTACGTCAGCAACTGTTCCTTTAATTCTATTTTGAGTAAACCAAGCTGTCAAGCATCGATTCTCTTAAGTGACACATTTTATATTCTTTCACAAAGATTTCAATTCTTTCACTATATCCTTCCCACTTAACGCAAAGACAAGCGCAAGGTCATATAGAACATAAACAAAACAAAAGTCGGACCACGATTTAACGAATTATCGGGACCAAAAATATTATTCGCTAAATCGTGGATAGTTCGTAATATCGAGGGCAAAATGAAACAAAAATTGACTAACCTTATGAAATATTCGAACATCTCTAATATAGCAAATACACAAAATAAATAGAAAACTTACACTTTTTATTCAGGAACTTAAAATACAGCGAATGAGTACGTCCTGATTAATTTGAAAGTATAAAGCATTTCGTGTGAGTAAGGTTTGCTTATTTCCTTGATTTCTTATTTTAAAATGGTGTTTTTTGACGTCATGAAGAGAAGAAAATACTCCTTCTTTTACATCTTGCTGCATTAGATAAGTTTTCACTGTTTCCAACTTCTGTATTCATTGTTATTATAAATCTACTTTATTTTTTCATAAAATTCGTTATTTTTTTTTAGATCATGAAATGCATGAAAGAAAAAAGCCCAGAGGTAAGCAACAAATTTTAAATTTATAAATATGAAGAGTAGAATATAAGTGAACTTATCGTAATCGAACTATTATCGTATTAGCGCTCGTATCGTAGCGCTCGTATTAGCGCTCCTATCGTATCGTATTAGCTCTCGGTCATCGTACTATTTGTTCTGTACTTCCGACTTCCGATGACTGAGTTGAGTTTATAAGAAAGAAAGAGGATACCCAGGTAGCAAAAAGATATGATATAACGTTAGAAAGATGCAATATAATACTGCCGTGCTAGAAAACGCAACACTCATGAATCCTACCTTTCGATCTAACATTCGAACTTTCAAAATTATCATCTATTTCATTACTTTCGGTACAGCACCACATTTTTGCGAAAGGGCATCCCATATTATTAATAAATAAACATTTATTTATGAAAGAAAATAATCAATGTCATCTTGTATTTCCCTATTGCTGAATCAAATGATATTTTGAAAAGGAAAAAAAAAAATTTCAATTTAAAATTTAAGTGGCCCTTATAGATTCTTTTTTTCTGTTCAAATTTATGCTATAGTATTAAATTGTGGCTTGTAGTATTTTTTATAAACTATAGTTTGACGCTAAATTCAGATGCTTATTTCGCTTTAGACTAAGTTTTAGAAATATAGACACGGAAGAATTCACTAAATTAAGGAAAAAAAAGAAATGACGTAACGCGCAACTTAACAGCCATTAAAAATAATTTCAAAATTAAAAATGACGATGGAATGACCCTACCGATGGAATGACTTGCTTGTCAATGAATGTCAATGAAATGACAAATGTCGGCGAAACANTGTCGACGAAACTACCCTGTCGACGAAATGATTTGTCGATGAAATGACCCTGTCGAGGAAACGATCATGTCGACGAAATTACTTGTCGACGAAACGACCCTGTCGACGAAATGACTTGTCAACGAAATGACCCTGTCGACGAAATAATCCTGTCAATGGAAAGACCCGGTCGACGAAATGACCCTGTCGACTAAATGACTTGTCGACGAAATGACCCTGTCGACGAAATGACCCTGTCGAGAAAAAGGCCCTGTCAATGAAAAGACCCTGTCGACGAAATCACTTGTTGACGAAATCAATTGCCGAAGAAATGAACCTGTCGACGAAATCACTTGTCGACGAAATGACCCTGTCGANATACTCTTAATATTAAATTTGTTTTTAGATTTATTGATGATTTAATTATCTTTAATTTTCAAGATTATAGTATTTTATTAAATAATATTTACCCCGAGGAATAAATCTTGCCTCGTAATCATGATGATAATATTGATTTCAATTTTTTGGATTTGGGTATTATAAAAGAAGATAATATCTGCTTTTTGTGGATTTTAACGATAAAGGAAATTATTTTAATTTTAATTAAAATGCAACTTTTAATGAAAATTTTTATTGAAATACCACTTTAAATGAAATGAATANAATGACCTAGTCGATGAAACGGCCTGTCGATGAAGTGGTGTCGATGAAATGGTGTGTCGATGAAGTGATTGTCGATGAAATGAATGCGACCCGTAATATTTATTTATCTAAAAACAAATAGATATGCTCGTTTAAAATTTGATATAAAAAACACAATGGATATCCAACTAAAGGAATTAAATTCTATTTAAATCATTGAGTTAATTGTATATTATTGTAAATAAATTTACTAAAATTTCTTTGTTAATTTATATAATTTTTACCGTGTGCAAATACATTTCGGGCAAATCTGTGGCTAAATTTATGTGCAAAACAGGCAATTCGTGCTTCCTTCTCTTTTCTATTTTTTTTTTTTAAATCAATGTTAATTTTCTGAAATTATTAACTGTCAACTTCTTTAAATTATCCAGTATAATATTACCTTGCGCACATCCATTTTCGGGCTAACTAATCCTTCTTAACTAACAAATCAAACGCACTTCAGTACTGCAGTAAGTACGCACTTTAATACAAAACCCCTCTATTTACGCTTTTACTTCAATTTACGCTTTTGGTTTCATATTTCGCAATCTGGAAATCTTGTTACAAAAATATTTTAAATCATTCTTGAAAAGTTTTCCGTTTATGTAAATTCATTTGAATTTGCTACTCGCTTTATTGATTTCATTTCATGTTTTATTTTTTTTTCTTTACATTTTATTTTTTGTTTTCACGTGATATTTTTACTTATTGTGTTCTATTTTATTTGTAATTTTTTCGTAAAAATATTTCTGAGTGCTCCTCACACTATTATACTGATATATTTTGCTTTGGCTATATTGATACAATATTAGAAAGCACTCCTTTTTGCGGATATAATCGTGTGAGCTGATGAAAATATTATGTCTTGTATTTTCCGGATTTCCATTAATTTTTTTCCCTTGTTTTGGATTTTTTCCCGGTTTCTTGTTATTTTTATTTTTATAATTATTTTTCCCCCTTTTTTTCATTGTTCTGCATTTTTTCCATGTTTTTCCTACATTTTGAACTTGTATATATATATGTATAAACTTGGATTGTAATCCAACACAAAGCGCCAATAGAAATTTGTGTTGTCAGAAAGCGGTTGACGTTTTCATTGCAAGATTTCACTCTTTACACGAAATTTTTAATAAAAATATTAATAAATAATAATTAATAAATATAATAATTAATAAGCGAGTTAATAAAAATATTAATAAATAATAATTTTTACTTCATAAAAGATAGCAATACAATAAAGGAAGCAACAGTGAACCTAATCACATGTTATTTAAAAATCGTATTAGCTATTGTAGCATTTCATTTACAGAGAGCGAAATAAATTTCTTTCCCTTAGTCTTTTGCAATGATTTACTGAATTGAAGTTTAATAAATAAATATGAAGTTTAATAAATATAAGTTTAATAAATATTAAATGGGAGTTTTAAAACATAAAACTATCAACAAGCAGGAAAATCATTTTAATTTTTCTTACCTTCTCTTCCAGATGGATGATGAGGACAAGAAGGATATGAAACACTTTGAAGTAAGTCATGCTTATCAACTCTAGTTAAAGCATCGAACATAGTCAAAAAGTTACGACAAGCAGTTTTCAAAACTAGCTGTTGCCCGCAGCTTTGCGCGCGCTGTCCCAAGACAAAATTTTTGATGGTTTTCCATTGATGGACCAACATAATCTTGATGGTAACCATCAATATATCCATCATGAACCATTATATTTTTGATGGTAACCAACATAAGTAACCACCACTTGAAATGTAGGAATTCGGACTGATTTATGATGGGTCCAACATAAGAATAGCAACTTGTTTTGATGGTTTGTCCATCACGAATTTCCATCATAGTATTTTAGAAATAAAACGTTGGAACGATCATGAGCAACCAGCACCCCAATGTAGGAACTCGGACTGATTTATGATGGTCCTACTTTTAAAAAAAATTGTTCTGATGTTATATTCCTGAGAACCAACAAGAATTCCCATTTAACCATCATGGAAATGTATCGTTGGAACCGCCATGAACCATCACGGATCATCATGGATTGTTGGTTCATGAGAGTCAAACTTCTTTTAATGTTTAACCATCATAGTATTAAAGTAGCATTTTCCATCATGGAATGATAGAAGTTTGTTGGCATATCGAAAACCATGAACACGTCATGAAAAATGCTGGCTGATGGTGACCATCAATTGGTGTTGAGCCATCACGAACACTGAGACCAAAGTAAAACATAAAAATTTTTTGATGGAACAATCAAGAATTTTGACTTGGGATACTTTGGTACTTTGGGTACTTTGATTTCAGATTTCCAAGAGATCTCCGAAACATTGTCAAAGTATTAGATTTTAGTAATAATTTTAAATTTGTTCAGCAACCACTAAATAACACAAACCAACGTAAGAATGAAAAGAAGACATAATGTTAACTCTTAGGGTTTGGTGCGGTGCCTGTGAAGAAAAGAAAAAACAACATTTAGGGGCACTGAAACTTCCCAATCATTACCGCATTTTAAAACTATTGATAAACAGTAGGTACCATACTACACTATCTGGCAAAAAAGCATCCGGATATCCCAGTGGTCCGGATTTAGAGCGTCCAGAGGCACATATTAATGTGATGTTCGTCCTCCTTTTGCAACGATGACAGCCTGCACACTTTCCACCAGTTTTTGTTAGGAATTGACTTCCATCACAGCTGAAGTGAGTGCTTGCAGCGAGGATTCGGCTGGCTACCTAATCTGTGCTCTATTTCGTCCCATATGTGCTCTATGAGATTTAGATTGTGGCTGTGAGAAGGCCAGCCCAGTTTTTGAACACCCATTTCGTCAAACCACGTCTTTGCAAGCTTCGATGTATGAATGGAGCAGTTATTCTGCTGGAAGAGAAATGGACCGAAATATTTCCATAGAGTTTGGAGTGCAGCATAGTCCACATCTCAGAGTTCGTGTTTCAAACCACAGGAACTAACGGACTCGGGACAAAGAAACACCCCCCTACCATTATTGCCTCTTTCAAGCAATAGCATTTATACATATCGTATGATGCTCAAGTTATGGCTCGGGAGGTGCGTGAGGAAGCAGTACATCACATAAAAAAGCATTGGGATGAGTTTTCTATCTTACCTCCCGGCAGAGATAGAAATACTTCAACTGCCTACTATACTGAAATGCCCTGAACGTATACTTGAGTGATTTAATGGCTGCTGGACAGATATTAAATTATATTGCTAAAATTCAATACAATGTCGCGGACATCTCTTGAAAATAGTTAAGCTTAAAATCAAAGTACTTTCTCACGGGCAAACAGCTAGAAAAATTTGGTTAATATGTTGCTTAAAACAAATTATGGCGTTAGGATTGGAGAAGAGGTGAAAGAATTTAATTTTATTTTCTTATCGTCATTGAACAGCAGACCCAATATTTGTGGTTTACGACTACTAATGTTCAACTCAGTAGTCTTGTAATTTTAAACCCAATTCAGAAGACAAGGGAACTTCTGGATAAAATATCTTGAGAAATTTGCCTTGGGGGAGGACTTTTAGATTGAACTAACCCGCATCCGCGTTGCATGGGAAGGAAAACCACGAAAACCTCCCACGGTAAGCCTTACGGCAAGGGGACTCTAAGGCTAAGCGCAAACAGTTTTTTCGTTCCTCAATGAAATAGATGCCCCACAAAAACAAATTGAAAATTTGGGGTTTCCCCCTTTTGCATGGTGAACCCTACAGGATGGGGGGACATCGAGAGGACCACCTGTAGGGTCATCAGAAGGGGAGATAAGGACTGATAGATTTATGAAGAATTAGAATGCAGAAAGTCTTATCTTAATATTTTGTTCTTGAGGATTATAACATTTCTTTCAATTTGTTTTTGTGGGGTATATATTTCATTGAGGAACGATAACCCATAATCCGTCTAACACTGAAAATAGTTTACGCAGCACTGTGATCGGTACAAGACGGATGCGGAATTCGTATCGATCAGTCATCGCTGGGATTCGAACCCGGTTCACGTCAATGGAAGGCGAATGCTCTATCCCCTGAGCCATCGCGGTTCAGGTTGAAGAATTAGAATATTTAAATACAGTTGTGCTGCACATTGAGCTTGGTTACCAGTAAAGTTTTTAAGTTGTACAAAATAGTTTTGAAAAGTAGCCAAGTTGGTCGACAAAGGCGGCTAGTTTCAGTTAATAATGTTTACTCTTTTTCTTCTTTAGGAATGTATAAAAAAGCTACATCAGGAACATTGCAATATAACTAAAGCTGCCGAACTGTGACCGTCACTTTTCAAGCAGACGAATTTACTTGATCTGTACTTTCGATGCACACCTATGCAGTACACTTATTAAATATGTTCACTTTTAAATAAAAATTAATAAAATAATTTATTTCTGTCCTATAAATACTATTTATTTCTATAAATACTATTTATCTCACCAGGTGAGCCTCGGCCTTCTTCAATTTGAAGATCATTTTTCGAATGATCAATAAATTAAAGTGTTATAAGTTCTGTTTACTTTTAATGCAAAGATATTTCAATTTGGTTACAGTAAATCTATTTCATTTGCAGTTTGTAATTTGATTTAAAGATTTGTTATATGCTTGTTTTTTGTTACTGTATTAGAAGAAAAAAATCATACTTCTGTCTTAACTACCACTCTTTTTTAAGAAGTTTCTTTTGCAAAAATGCAAACAGGAATCCCAATCACGTGTTAAGAGTAAATGGGCAGAGAAATGCAAATTTTGTCGATAATGGCACAGATCTTTTTACGACAAATGTAACATGAATTATGTTATAAGGAAAACTTGTATAAGCTTTCGTAAATCTGTCGTAATTCAAAAGAATTCCAACAAAAGCCATGTGTGATATTTTATAGTCAACGAAATCTACTGGTGATCTGTAGCATTAAAGAAGTTTATAATTTTCACTCTTAAACCCAGATAGCCTAATAAAGTTTGTAGAAACATTCCTTCATAGCCACTGAGTACATATTTTCCATTCGAAATTTTAGTAGCATTCAATACATCTTTAGAGAATCCCGCTGAAACTATTAGATATTTAAAATCACACATTGTTTTTAATGTTTGCAGTCAAAACGGCTTATAGTTCAATTTATAATTTACATTAAAATACAAATTCAGAAAATGCATATTGCATTGGACTATCTGGCCACCTATGATGATGATGATAATATACAAGTCAATCGAATAAATAGTTCAAAAGTTGAAAGAGTTTTTATGTGAGCAATAGTTTAAAAGGTACTGCTTTTGACACACAATTTTGATTTCTTGCTGTCCTGGAACTATCTGCACATGCAAGATTTTTTCGGATGTAATTTTTCACATGTAATGCGACTGATTTCGAGATGGTCCGGCCGATAGTTCAGAAGTTATAAGATTATTTTAATAATAAAAACAATTCAAATATCGTCTTTGTGCATTTGGTCTCGTTCGATTAAATGAGAAAAAAAATTCACAGAAAAGTACCTCCGCTGTCTACGCAGTTTTGTGAAATGCGTCAATAGGTACAAAATTATACATAAAACGCTTATAACTTCTAAACTTTTAGTCCGGTCGTCTCGAGATAGGTCTCATCCAGCTTCAGCGTAAAGCAATACATTAGAAAATATGCCTAACTTGACTGTGTAAAAGAAGTCTGGTTCATGTACAATTTTAAAAGGAAGTTATTCTAAATTACATAAGAGCTTTTTTACAATATTCAAATTTTCTTTTCAGAAATGATTAAAGAAAAAAATTTTATGGATTTTTCGTTTGCCATTTAATTGGTGAGTAAAGTTATCCCATATTGCAAAATTTATTAATCAGATTAGCGCATTGAATTTTAGAGGTAATTTTAAGATTTTCATCTTTAAAAAAAAACAGGGTGGGTAGCCAAATTTCTTAACAAAAAATAAACACCTTTTAAGCACTCAAAAAATATTTGTAAGCACCACATACATTAACAAAATGCAAAATAATTTTCACAGACTTAACATGATCATGATAAAATAACTAGTTTCTGACAAAGAACTCTTTTCTTGATTATGATTATATTAGCCACCAAATGAAGATCGAGAGATTTTTCGGTTCGATTTCAGAAAAAATTCTTTATAAAAAATAGTTTTTTAATGCAGAAAATTATTTTCAAACTAATATCTTTACATATCTTGATGTTTCTGCCATTTAAAATGTCAACAATTAACTTTTTTAACAATTTTATATCAATATTTTACTAAAAACATGATTATTAAACGGAATTCCTATCGCTGCACAAAGTAGACCCACTTGGGGGCTACTTTGTGCAAGCTATGTTTTGACTTATTATTTGTAAATATTACATTCAATCGAATTTTCTTGATTTCTTTTTTTAAAAAAATGGTTCAAAGCTGATTAATTCCCTCTTACACTTAGTAACAACAGGGTGCGTAGCTGGATTTTTCAACAAAAAATAAGTACCTTTTAAGCACTCAATAAAAAATTTTAAGCACTTTCCAAAAGAAATTATAAATAGGATATGGGCAGTAATAAAAATTATTTTCTTCTATCATTAAAAGTTCTTCATTAATATAAAATAAACAAAATGCAGAAACATTTCCAAAAACTTTACATAATCATGATAAAATAACTAATTTTTTGATAAATATTTCTTAGAAAATTGTGAAAATCTTGTTTTTTTTTGTAATTTATGACGACAATCGACAAAGCAAAGAAAAAAAATATCTTTTTACAATATCGAAAATTAAGCACTTTTTACTCCGAATAAAAAAAGCACCTTAAAGGGCTTTAAAAAATTGTAGATCCTAAATAAGCACTTTTTAAAAACGCTAGGCACCCTGAACAATAATTAAAGAATATTATGCAACATTTTCGAAGCAGCTTAAATAGCTCAAAATGTTTTGATATCGATGATTAAATTGTTACAGGGGTGATTGTGAGCCCAAGTCAAAATTCCGGAAAATTTATTGAGATAAAAAAAAAAAAATTAAAGTGAAAGTTTAAATTGAAAAAAATTTTAACAAGTTTTTTTTTCTTTTCTCAATATTCCTTAGTTTATTTAAAATTTTACACATACCTATGATGACCTGGAGAAGTAGTCAAAATTTACAAATATGTCTTTCGTTCTTGATTATGACAACTATTTACAGATAAAAAAATATAAAAAATTATATTTATCACGAATATAAGCTTATAAAGTATGCCTCTCTCTTACAAACAAATAAAATAAACTGTGTTCCACCTTTGAAAATTTGATTTCCGAAAACTTCTGTGATCAATGATTTTTCGAAACGTCTGGACCTTCGATCTCCGGAAACCCGAATTTTTTTCCGGAGCACAATCAACATTGTTGTTATAACAGACGGATTTAAATTATTTTGAATTATTTCATTAAGCGAAATAACAAATTTATGTAATATTAAACTTACGTGATCATGGGTGCCACTCAATTTTTTTTTTTTTTTTCAAGAATGAAAATATTATTTTACTAATTAACTCGGTCTAGCACTGTTTAACAAAATTCAGAAATTTATAGCAGACCGCAAAATGCACCTTTCCACAATAATGGCTCGTAATCAATTTTTTTTTTTCTAAAAAAATAAAACAATATTTTTCTTTATTTTATTAATTTATTTTTACAGCAAACAATATACTATTTTTCCTTTCACCATTAGCTCTATAAATTTTATTCTCAAAAAAAAAAAAATTATAATTATCGCAATTTAACTTGGGCTAGCATTTCACAATGTCAGGTAAAGTGCAAACTAAAGCAGAAAAATAGTGAACAATAGTACAAATATTGTTCGCTGTTTAAATAACTACACACTAGTAAAATGTTGCAGGTTTAATTCTGATTACTATTAAAAATACTTACTTAGTCAATATCATTCTGAACTAGAAAAAAATTTTTATAAGTATCTCTTTTCGGAGCTTGGTATATTAAAATTTTTTACATGATTTTAAAATTTTTTAAATTAAAAAAAAAATTTTTTTAAAATGCACCTTATGTCTATTTTCTCATAATTTTCAGTTTAAATTATAGACAAAAGCTTTCAAGTTTTTTTTTATCAATTACTCATTTTTTTAGTGTACTTTTTTTTTGAAAAAAACTTGGTGCACAGAGATTATTTTGCCAACATCCTATATTTATTAGCTACAAATTTTCCTTTATTTTGATAATGAGAAAATTATTTTCCGAAATATACACATGAGTGCAAGACAGTAATTCAAAAATTGCTGAGAATCAAATTCAGTTATTACATATCACACATTTTTAAAATTTTCTTAGGGCGCTAAGTGATTGCTTTTTCAAAATTCAAAGAGCCCTTTTTTTAAGAGAAAGCACTGCCATTTTCTATTTTTAGGGAGAACGCAGGCATTACAATTTAGTCGTAATTTTTCTTTTTTAAAAATTTATAACTTGATAAATATACACATTTAATAAAAATACACATTTATATAATTTACCACAATTTTAAATCTCGAATTAGCATGTAAAAAAATTTATATGTCAGTTTTAAATATGTTAGGATTTATTTTAATATTTCAATTATAACCTTAAAAATCTGATAGTAAAATAAAAAAAAACAGACCAAAATCCTCGATTCCTTTAAAAAACTGAATCCTGGTTCGAAGCTACTCTTACAATTTGATACTATAATTAAAGAATTTTAAGCAACATTTTGGATACAATAGCTACAATTTTATATGTAGTAAACTACTCAGGCAGATTTCAATTTCTTCGAATAACACATTTAGTGTAATAAATTTATGCGATATTACTAATAATATTTACTCACTTGCCTTTAAATATAAATACACAAACGATTGCGTTCATGCCAGAGAGTACTTAAAATGTTTTATATGTTCTACAATTTTATATGTAGTAAACTACTCAGGCAGATTTCAATTTCTTCGAATAACACATTTAGTGTAATAAATTTATGCGATATTACTAATAATATTTACTCACTTGCCTTTAAATATAAATACACAAACGATTGCGTTCATGCCAGAGAGTGTACTTAAAATGAAAAAAACTTACTAACTTTACATAAATGAGTGTAAAATTTAACTTCATTTGTTAATTCTATAGCTGTTAAAATATCAAAATCAATTTTTCTTTAATGCTTCGAAAGTAAATAAATAGCATATTTCTGTAAATAGGGTTGCTACTAAAATCTGGAGAAAATAAATTCCCAGTTTTCTCTGTATTTATCACATACACTATATTAAGAGGAAACACACAATCACTGTGCTTTTGAGTGACCTATATTAGTCTAACTATACAAATTTTAAGTAAGGAACAGCTCAACATAGTTAAAACAAATAATGTTATAGTAAATGAAACAGTTTAGTATAACTGAACTGTCATCCTTAAATATCCCATATCCACTTTTAAAAGATTAAAATAAGAAATAAAATCCCATGCATTTCCCATTTTGTAAGGAAAAACTCAAAATTCCCTGCATTATACCTGTTATTATAGGTGATTTTTAAATTCCCTGTAACTTTCAGGTTTTCATTGTGGAGTAGCAACACTGAATAAGCAAATAGCATGAATGGTAAATGATTTGAAAATTCTTTAGAAAACTGAAATTTGGAAGAAAAAAAAGGTAACAAAATAAAACAGATGTTTGTACAGAGGCATTTTTTTATTTTAAAAATAACAATACTTTAAGCAATAAATTCATATGGAATCGGTTCAAGATATTGTGGTTCATTATTTGTCGTGCTTACAAAATGAGCTTTACGGGGCTTAACTGGTTGCCTCTTCAAGTTGACCTTGACGCCAGATTCCTTGGCAGCCTTCTTCTTTGCTTCATTTTCAACCAATCTTTGTTTGAAATCTTGCCTACACTTTGAGTGTTTGATGTGTTCCACCCTGATATTGATACGCTTGGGGATGATGCGGTTGCGTACACGCTTGTTCACGATGACACCCACGGCGTGAGGGGTGACATTGAAGACTCTGCCAGTCTTGCCGTGATAATATTTGAAGGGCATCCCCTTTTGAAAGGCTCCATTCCCTTTGATGTCAACAATATCGCCTCTCTTGTAAACTTTTAGGAACGTGGAAAGTGGTTCTGTACCACGATGCCTGAACTTCCTTGCAAAAAGATATCTGGTACCACGTCTGTAACCTTTGGTATTAACCATCTTTTCAAGATTAGGTCAACCTAATAAGAAACAATAATAATTAAATATTTAGAGTAACACTGCCAAACAAACACAAGGTGCGTAGACAAATCTTTCAACAAAAAATATTTGTAAGCACTACATACATAAGTAAAATTAAAGATAATTTTCTAAGACGTAGAAATGAATTTCTAAAACAAAGAACTCTTTTCTTGATTATATTAACCACCAAAAAATAGTTTGAGAGATTTTTCTGCTCGAAAAATGAAGCCTGAGTTTGAGAATATCTAGCAAAATGCAGCAGAGTTGCACATGAGAGTGCTAGAATCTCACCGAACCCAACGCAGTAGACACACATGCAGACTCATCAAACATGCAAAATGATAGCATATGTAATTATTACATGTAAATAATTTTGTATAATATGTGCCGAAAATCGACATGGTAAAGAAAAAAAAAAACTTAATTTTGAAAAGGGAAAAATCAAGCACTTTTTAAAAACAAAGTAAAAAACTCTTTCAAAGGCTGAAACGAAAAAAAAAAAACTCCTTTAAGAAATGAAAATAGACACCTTCACTGGTGACTGATAACAGGGTGGGCGTATTTAAATGATCTAAATTTTTTTAAACAACACAACCTATAAATTTGTTCTTTAAATTTAAAATTTCTGTCTCATAGATAAATAATCTAATTCACAGATAGTGAATAAAGCCCTACAAATTGTGCAACAATCTGAAAACAGTAACTTCTGAAGTTGCTGGTGAGAAAGATTTTAGAGAGTGGTAGTAGTAGTAATATAATAATTTAAAAATTTTCTAAAAATTAAGCTATTTTACCAACACACATACGGAAACTTGTATTAGTACAGAAATTGAATAACTCACATACAGAAATAATATATTTAATATACATAGGCTTGAATCATTGAATTGGCGTGGTAAATAAAACCATAAGACTTAATGTACAATTTGTTTAAATTAAGACTTGAATTAAAATATAAATACTACTAAAAACGCGGGGGGGGGGATTCTCAATAGCCGTAAAATTTGGCACATATGCAGTTCTTCAACAAACGGATCAATCAAACAACACACATATGTAGCTCTTTAACAACGGATCTCTGCAATAAAACGGATTGGAATTATTTAAGATAAGAATTTATTTGGAATTCAAAAACTGCATAAAACATAGCATTTAAAGTAAACATTGTGGACATTTTAAAAAAATTTTTCAGCAATTTAAATGCAAAAAATAGAATGGAAAGGTAATAATCATAATACATTCCCTTGCAACTAAGGAGATGAAAGGAAAGGGTGACTTTCCAGACATTTAATTGGTCTATTTGTATTATTGAATACAAGTTCTTTGAAGTGTCTTTATCATTTCTTCACTGTGTTCTTTGGATAAGACTTATAGCTTGAAAAACATGGCCAAGGGACCAGCTAGGCTGAAGAGGTAATGAGAGTAGAAATCTTATGCGGAGGTCTGTCCAGACATTTTGTGTTTTTATAAAATTGTGAAAAAACTATTCATAATTTGTTAATATAAAATAAGTGTTAAGTCAAATTCTTTCAACCAGGGTCCCGCTTTTGTGAATTTGTGCAAATAGGGTCCTGTTATTGCAAGAACAAGATTCTGCTCAACAATTGCTGCTACTAAATTAGACATGCAACATACAAATATTTGGTATTTAGCCTATACAGCTCAACACAAAATATTCAATTCGGACAAATAATGGAAACAAAATCACTCACATTTTTAATAATTTCAATTGACATATTTCAAAAAACGCAACTTAGTAATGTATCACTTTTAATGTGTCATGCATAGCCGCCCTCAGGCCGCAAATACTTGCATTTTAGTCGCCTGTGGCAACCCTGCAAAACAAATAAGTCAATTTGTCTCAAATGTTGCTTTTTCCTCTCCTTTACTCAGTCGCAAGGAAAAGTATTACGATTTTTTACCCTTCCATAAAACTTTTCATATTTAAATTTCAAAAACGAAGTAATGAAGAAAGAATAAATAAGGCCAGTATTGTGCTACAATCGAGTTGTAGTGTAAACGCAACAGGGGTCTGCCGTCTCCGATGAAAAATAATAGGACTATGGTCCATGTTTATAGAGCCCGAATCCTTGAGAATTAAATATGAGCTATTGCCATTTTCTGTATGAGAGAGAAAAACACTATGTTTTATGCAGTTTTTTGAGTTTCAAATAGTTTCTTATCTTAAATGTATGTATATAGAACAGGGTGCATAGCGAATTCTTTTAACAAAAATAAGCACAATATAAGCATTCAAAAAATATTTTTAAGAACTATACATTAGCAAAATACATGAATAAATGTATTTACATGAATTAATGATCAAGAGAATAATATAAAATGATCAAGAGATTTTTTGGTTCGATATCAGAGGGTGGAAAATGAAGTCTGAAATTAAGAATATCTAGCAAAATGCAGCAGGGTTGCACATGAGAAGGCAATAATCTCACCGAACCCAACTCAGTAGACGCACATACGGATTAGCAAGTATTTCATCAAACACGTAAACTGATCGGCGCTTTAGATATGGACCGCTGGTACGCCAAAATGAATTGTGAAAACGATGAAAAGCACGCGTTTGTATAATGTGTCGCAAAAATCAACGTGGTAACGAAAAAAGGGGAAAATAAAGCACTTTTTAAAAACATCCAATGAAAAAGGACCTTTAAAAGCTTTTAAATAACAAAAATCGATAATAAGCACCTTTAAGCACTTTTTAAAAACACTACTCACCATGTATAAACCTCCACCCTACAAAATTTGCTGATAATAAATACATGTGCATGGCTATTCAAAGCCAAATTCAACCAAAGATAACGAAAAACATGTTCATGTAAAATATTTAATAGGGTTTTCATTATCACAAGAAACTTGAATTAAGTATATCTTTTCAGGGAGCTTAGTACATTAAATTTTAAAATTATCTTAAATACAGTTTATAAAACAATTGACCTGAAAATGTTTATTTTCACATAATTTTCAGTTTAAATTATAGAACAAAGCTGTCAAGCTTTTTATCAATCATTTTTTTCATTGCACTTTTTTGAAAAAAATTTATGCACAGGGATTTGTCTTCCAGCATGCCTTTAATTATTTTATTAAACTACAAATTTTTTCTTTTTGATAATGAGACAATTATTTTTCGAAATACACACATAAAGAGTACAGGAGGGTAAATTAAAAATTGTTGTTAATCAAATTCAGTTATTACATATTACAATTGAAATGAAACAATTGAATTACAGTGAACAGGGGTCTGTCCAGGCCAAATTTACTACCATTTAGCGGTACCTTCACAAATTTAACTACTTTTTCTTAAAAATTTTATTTTTTTATCCCGTAAGAAACGATAAATCCATAATTATACCATATTTTTGTGTTGATTTATTTGAATAATTTATAATTTCCATAAATTATGTCTAAACTTTCACAAAATAGGTACCTCTCAGGAAAACCTAGACAGACCCTTGATTACATAATATTACACACATATTACAATTTTTAAGGTGTTAAGTGATTGCCCTTCTCAAGAGAAAGTGACTTGCCCTATTCTATTTCTAGGGAGAACACTGGCATTAGAATTTAATTGTAATTAATCTTTTTAAAAAAATTATAACTTGATAAATATACACATTTAAATAATTTCCCACAACTTTGAATCTCGTTTTAGCATACACTATGCATTACCGTAAAAAAAAAATTATAACAGTCAGTTTTAATGTGTTAGGATTTATCTTTAGATTTCAATATATCAAATAGTATAAAAAAAAGACCTAAAAATATCTGATTTAAATTAGGATAGGAAAAAATCCGGTAAATTTTACACACATTGCTATCAAAATACATAAACTTTATTACACTAATAACTATAAATGGTCTGACAAAGTTTGCATATATGATTCACATAAAAATTAAGTTTAATTTAAAATGTTTTTTAAATTATAATAACTCAATTTTAAATTGTAAAAAAAAAACAAGAAAAGAAAAACATTAAATTGATTACTATAAATGATGTAGCTACAATATAAACCAGTAATACTTATTAGCAATACTAATAACTAATACTTATTTAAATATTCAAGAAAGCGGGTAAATTGTGAGAAGTTTTAAATTTAAAATTTTTTTTTTAGAGAAAACTTAATCTTAGGAAATTTTCTAAAATGTACAAAAAGTAAAAGAATCTTTATAAAACCAGTAGTCCAGAAGAAAATAGCAAAATTCAGTAGAGTTGACAACTTTGCACTTCAGGGAATGGTAATTAACTAGGGGAGATTTACGTATCGTAATCTGTGGCAGAATAATCACCAGGTCTTGGAAACTTGTGGGCAGTGGCCCCCAAGTTACTAAAAAAACATCACAGAAAGGGACCAACGCGAATGGTATAACTCATATCCACCCCAAGCAAACGCCTACATGCTTTAAAAATTTGCACGTTTAAAATCTATTTGACGTCTTGGCAATTGTAGTTGATGAGACAGATCATGATATTTATCTATAGTATTATTCAAGAATACTTTTATTTCATTCGAGTTCAATTCTTTTAGCATAGTGGTGTTACATCACCCAGTGTCAGTAACTGAAACTGATTTTATGCCCTTTAAAACTGGTAATACATTTTTCAGTTATTTTGTATTTCTAATTTAAATATATTTATACTTAAAAACATTAATAGATGACTTTTATTATCATCCTGTAATGCGGAAATTATAAATTTTATTTTTTAAAAATATAGCGAAAAATAAATGGTTAATTTTGAAGCAAATTTAGTACCTTTTTTAAAAAAATTATTACTTTTTAATATTGCACTATTTATCCTTATGCAAAAACATAACTTATCAGTATTAAAAGCATTTTTATATTTAAAGGATAAGGTATTCACTTTTGTTAATGAATTGTGGAGCTTCAAAAATTATAAACCTTTATTTATATCCCACTTGTCCTGTCCAAACCAGTTTATGACATCCAAAACCCTGAATTCAAAGCATCTTAAAACAAAATTTTTATCTTTTTAAGTTTCCAAGTGTCTGAAGTTATTCAGAAGTTACAAAATTTTATACATTTAAATTTTTTTAATTTATTAATATAAATGACCAAAGATGTACTCACACGAAAACTTAAAACATGAATCTAAGAAATAATATTTCACACAAGAACTAAGAATAAGTCTATTATTTCATGTAATTGACCATTAAAGATTTAATCAATAGTATAAATCCTTTAACCACTATAATTGAACCAATTAAAAAAACATTTGTATTGGATCGATAATAGGGGATTATTAACATATATGTGTGTTAATTTTGACAATGAATTAACAACTAAAAAATACAATGAATTAAAGAAGATTTCAACGTATGTATAGTTATAACAAACTTAACTTTCCTCATAATTTGAACAAAACTTCAAACATACAGAGTTGAACGCGCAGAAGTTTTCGTGAGTGTTTAAGATAGTGTCAACCGTAATCCTAACAAGTTGAACCTGTCACAAGATAAATTTTCAATTCATATATTATTTTGGAGGAAGTGGTGATATAAGTTTAGTTTACTTGGACAATGATCTCTCCAAATACACATGGTTTAATATTCTTTGAATAACATTACAAGTTTAAACATGTTAAAAGGTTAACTAAAAATGCATACAAAACAGTTTCTTATATGACAGTAAATCCTATTTACGAAAAAATACTGAAAAACTAATGATAAAAAGAATTAACGATTGCTATAAAGATAAAATAATCGAAGAAAACCGTAAAAAACAAGTTATCAAACTATACACAATTTAGGGTTATACTACTGATTTACATTGTTCAACACTTTTTATAGTACAAATTAGTCCTATAATTAATAATTCGAAATAAACTTACGATTCAATAAATAATTTAAAACAAATTTAATAAACTTTATTTAATATTTAATAAACCAAACAAGTAATACTCACAAGAACACGTTGCTAGAGAATTTTACCGAGTGTTGCACAGACGATATTGTGTTGAGTTGTTTTTCTTCATATAAAAGTATTCTTGCAGTTACCGAGAATCTATTAATCACTCAGCATCATTCTCGCTGCGTTGTACTTCAGACGCATGGAATTTTTTTAACGGATATATTTCACTAAGCAGAAATGCTCTCCAAATTCACAATTGTGAATTTTTCACATGCAAAGAGAGAGAGAAATCATTTCTGCTGCATGTAATTGATTTAGACAGGTTCAAGAGGGAGACTAATGTTTCAAAACTGCACATGTTCGAATCGTATAAACGTGCGTTTGCATTTACAAATCGCATTCAGTGAGAAGGCTCCATGAGAAAAGAGTTAGGTGTACATCCGTTTCCTGTTCAGGGGCATGTAAACTCACTAGACTATCGTTTGTGTGAATCGTATGCAGAAAATTGGTGCATATGCGATTATGAATTTTCGAGGGGGCCTTTCTCTATTCAAGGGATTACTAAATTGTGATGTCATCTCTTTGGATTATCTTCAGGGATGTGATTGACTAGTTTTTCAATGTTAAATACCTTTCACTAACAAACCTATCATTTGCATATGGTCCAACAGTGGTGATCATGCAGACAAGCTTCAAGACAAAGTCAAGCTTCATAAAGTGCTCGACGTCACGCGCACGTCGTAGGGCTGTGGCGTAACTACCACTATAAATATTGAATACCAATTCGCACTAGTATATAAGACATGCTAACTTGATTCCATCTTGAGGTACCTTTTGACAGATAAAAGTTGACACCGTCTAAGAATTAATCCCATCAGGGCTACCACAGCAGTTCTGCATAAGATCAGAATTGTGATGGCAATTGTCAATCTCACAGCATGTGGAAAAAATATCGAATAAGAATTCGGATAAGCGAAAGAGAACCTGAATGGGTTCTCGGGTGAAATTTTTATCATACAGCAAGAATGGCCCCTTAGAGAGACAATGCGAAAAAAGTAAATGATAAAATTTTATAACGTAGGTACTTTATTTACGTCGCCCTAGAGCTGCACGATGGGCGACGGTCAGGGAAGCATCCCAGAGGATGATCAGAAGACATGACACCGCAATTTTGATCCTCTGCAGACGATATGGCTCCCCTGCTTCGGTAGCCAGACAACCTGAGCGGGAAGTCGAGAACTTTACGGTACAAGTTTAACGGGGATCAATACCGCGCACCCTCGGTCCCAACGTAGGCTGATTAAAGTGGGCACCCACCCGCTTACTGACCGTAGCCAGTAATGCTTGATTTCGGTGTTCTAATGAGACCGTGTCTTTACGATCAGTCAACTGCGGGCAAAATTTTATTAAAATGTTAATGTATATTAATTAAATTAATATTAACTCATTTTATTAAATTCACTGCATACGAACAGTAAAGAAAGATCTGTTTCACTGTCAGATTTGAAACTGAGTAAAACAATTCTTAAAGAATAGAATAAATAACAGAATACTTTTAAAGAAAATTAGAGAAAATTAACATTCAATAGCTTTATTCATCATTCTAAACCTTTTATTTTTTTAACATATTCTAATATTACGAATAAAAACAACGTACAACATTTATTTGAGTAAAGTGCCACTTTCTCACCAGTTTGACTAAAGAAGGGCCGCACACATATTTAGACATGTTGACGCAAATATGGTCATAATCGAACATTTTTAAATAAACAAAAAATATATTCTTAGCACTAAATTTTTTTATCAGTAAACTTAGTAATACATTTGTAGAAAATAAACATTTTTTTTAAAAAATTATTCGAAAATTAAAAAAAGGATATTTTTTTTAAAAAAATATCTCTTTTCTTATTTATTAAAAAAAATATGTATATAAAAACATAGGAATTTTTTTTCCTTATCGTACAAAAGTTCATTTGAAAACAAACAAAACATCTAAAGGGAAAAAAAAAAAAACTCATATGCCCATGGAATGAAAGAATAAAAATAAAAACATATTTTTAATGATTATTATAAATTTAAATTGAATATTTTAATAAGTGGAAATTTATAGCGTTTAAGCAAGAACTAAAATCAAAACGAGACGGTTAAAGTACAAAATGAGTACCAAGCATGCTTGAGAACTAAACACTGGGTGTTCCGCGTTCGGCTGACTACCTAACCGGAATCTGCTCTTGCAACCCAGAGCTCAAGAAAACTGAGATGGGCACAGTAGGCCTTGGCCCTCTATGGGCTGTCACGACACAGAGTTTAGCAGTATAGTACAGTGGCCCCCATCCCCCCCAAGCTCTTTAGCGCATTCATCCCACCCAAAAAAAATTTGCTAACTTTCCCCTTCCATGTTAGCTTGTTCGAAATAGTGCTACGTTGCTTCTTTTATTTATGTACTTAAAAAAAAATTCTCGCGTCTAAATTCCCCCCCCCCCCAACTATTCGTTTTATTTAGTGTAAAAATCCCCCCCCCCAAAGCTTTAAGTGGGTGCATCGTGCGTCCACCTTCTCCCCTGAGTTTCAAACCCAACCCAGAAGACAAGGGCTCTCCTGGATCAATCATTGGGGAAAACTAGCTTTTGTGGTAGGCTTTTTGATGGAATGGAACTAATCCGCATTTGCGTTACATTGAGAGGGAAAACACAAAAACTCTATTTAGCCTGACGGCAAGGGATTACTCATGAACCATATACTAGGACAGGGCGATGTTAAGATTTTAGCCTCGTGATCTATCGTCAAGTTAACATCGCGATGTTTTGGTACATTAATGTTTTACATTTAGTACTGCGTAAATTCGAAATTATTAAATTGCATTTTTTAATTATTATTTATCAATATTTAAAGACGTGGATGTCTGCTAAAATAGCGGTTAAAAGCATTAAACGGCTGGATTGATTGTAAAAATAAAAAAAATAACAGGATTTGCACATACACAATTAAGAAAATAACTAAGAAATTCAGCAATTTGATTCTCTATCACACTTGGATTCATTATGTCAGCAAAAAAATGAGTGACCTAATGTAAAAAAGACGGGGAAAGATAACGATCATCGCCACAGTTATCACTAAGGCCCGGATTTTGATGACATTTGCATTTTCGAACATAGTTTGTCCTTTAGAGCATTTTTTGAGATTTATATGGCATTTTCTTTAAATTTTGGAGCGTATTTTGCATTTTGAAGCATTTTGTTAATTTTTTCTAATTTTTATTATTACACTGGCTTCCAAACAATGAAGAAAATCTCTAGGATATTAACAGGTGAAGCAACATCTTTTCAAATTGAAGAAGAATTGTCAGTAAGTGTGACCGTCCTTTTCAAGTACGCACCAATAACATCAGTAGACGTTGAAAGAAGCTTCTCCTGGTATAAAAATTTGCTTTCAGACAAGAGACGCTCGTTTACATTTCAAAATATTAAAAAAA